TGTGGGAGGAAAGAGGGGTGGATTTGTCTCCTTGAATCTGTGCTCAGTCGAAGGAGCCACTTTTGATATACGACTTACTGTAAAAGAAAGACTAATATGGGATGATTTTCCTACATCCTTGTAGCCAGGGCAGACTTTTCCTCCTCGAGGCATCCCTGTCAGGGGCAGAGGAGAACGTCCTTCTCATGTTTTCTGTAGAGATTCAGTTCCCTGTGCACGGTCTCCTAACGAGTGGCCACAGGCTCCTCCAGGCCCCGTTGCTGCCCTGGCTCTGTGCAGCTCCGGGGCCCCCAGATATCTGCCAACGAGGGCATCAGACCAACCCACCCTCACCCCTGAACCTTGTGAAGGTATCTCCTGGTTTCCTGTTGCCTGCTTAAAATTATTTTATTCTTTTTCATTATGAAAAATTCCAAACATTCCAAAAAAGTGGAGAGAATTGTCTAGAGAGCACCAATATGCCCACTCTTATGGGCTGAATTGTGTACCTTCCCAAACTCACTTAACCCCAGTACCTCGGAATATGACTATATTTGGAGATAAGGCCTTTACAGAGGCGATAAGGTTAAGTGAGGCTGGGCCCTCACCCAGTCTGACTGGTGTCCTCACAGTAAGACATCTGGATGCAGAGAGAAACCAGGCATGTGCAGAGGGAAGGCTGTGTGAGGACACAGCCAGAAGGCAGCTGCCCGCAAGCCAAGGAGAGAGGCCTCAAACAAAAACCAAACCAAAACAAAACAAAAAAAACAAACCTTCCAGTACCTTAATCTTGGACTTCTAGCTAGCTTTGAGAGCTGTTAAAAATTAATTTCTAGCCCTGGCTGGCGTAGCTCAGTGGATTGAGTGCGGGCTGCGAACCAAAGCATCGCAGGTTTGATTCCCAGTCATGGTACATGCCTAGGTTGCAGGCCATGACCCCCAGCAACCACATACTGATGTTTCTCTCTCTCTCTTTCTCCCTCCCTTCCCTCTCTAAAAATAAATAAATAAAATCTTTAAAAAAAAGTTTAAAAAAATTAATTTCTGTTTTTCACCCCCCCCCCAGGTACTTTGGCAAACCAGTACAGCCACCACATGGATTCTGTAGTTATCGTTTTGCTATGTTTACCCTATCATATTTTTATTTTTCCATCCGCCTTATTTTTTGATCGATTTAAAAATGAGTTGCAGATCCTTAGCCCACTCTGAAGACTAAACTATTCAATGGAGAAAGTAAATGCATATTTAATTGAAGGCCTCAGGCCCACATGACTGAACCCCCGCTGTGGTGGGGATCCTGAGGGGAGGCAGCTGCGATCCTACAGGGTGAGTCTGCAGACCAGGAGACTGGGGCCCGAGGAGGTGTCATTGTCAGGCTTGATTGGAAAGGCATGGAACTGGGTGTTGGTAAGCTCCTCCAGCTTCAGCTGGCTGCGGCCGCACTGGCCAGTTGTGCTGAGGTTCCCTGCTCCTTCTCTTTGGCTGGTGGAGGAGTGGGGGAGGGCGGTCACCACTTTGTGCTGGTAACCAAATCTGCAGAAATCTCCAGGGTCAGACATCTGTATTTATTCCTGGCTTAGTACCTACTGGCTATGGGTGACCTCAGGTGCCTCCCTAAGTCTCTGAACCTTGTCTGAAAATGAGCGTGGTAGTACTCACACGTACCTTGTGGGGATGTTTCGAGGATGAGAGGAGGATGCTGAATGCTCACAGGATGCTTCCTGTGGTTGGTGCCTCCTTGCTGGGGTGGGGTGATGCTCTCTGCTGTGATAAGCAAGTACCCACATTTCAGTGGCTTAATCTAATCAAAATTGCTGCTCACACAGCCATCCAGTGTCCCCGCTATAAGGCTCTCCTGATGGGGATTCTCTCCAAACTGACTTAGCGGGGTTCTTGTTAAACCTAGCTTCTGTAGAGACAGACGCAGAAGCCCAAGTTCAAAGCCTTGTTGAGAGCTTGAGTCTTTGTCAATGGGAAGGTAAAGCTCCAGTCTTCCAACTTACTTCTCTGCCTACCTAGGTTTGGTTGGGAGGGTTGAGCTGAGGTGCTCTGAGGCTGGTGGAACCCCAGGCTCTGCCCCCCAAAACGTAGGTGTCTTTGCCACACACTGGCAGCTCTGGGTCCTTGGGAAGGGTGCTGAGTTATCCAGCCCACACAATCTCTCTGTGCAGCAGCAGCAGCAGCAGGAGATGCAGCAGGGGAAGATGCAAGGCAGGCTTCGCTTTGGTGGGGATCAGCAGGGAACAGGCCTGCATGTGCCAACTGAGGGGACAGAAGCTTCTGGACCAGTGCCCAGGAAGGCAGTATTCCAGAAGTGCTCTTCTGGCCTGGTTGATAAATACCAGAGCTGCAATTAAGACAAAATACTGTGAATATGACACCTGCCAACAGCTGCAGGAAGGTTCCGGAAACTTTTATTATGAATTATACTTGCAGGCAGCTCTGCTGTGGTGAGCTGGTGCCGGTGCCAATGAACCTGAGGGCACTCAGCAGGCCGGCTGCCTCGAGGGCAGGGATTGCCCTCCAGGGCTGAAGGAGGAGAGTGACCCTCCATCCCTGTTCAGGGCCCTTGAGAAGGACCGTTGTATCGCAGCCCCTGTAGAAGCCAGAACAGGGAAGGGCTTGGAGCTCATCTTCTCCAACGGCCCCATTTTACATTTTGAAAAACCAGGGCACAGTGGAGAAGTGAGTTGTCCAAGGTCACACAGCAAGCTTCTGGCCGCACCAGGGCTGGAGACCAGGCACACTTGGCTGTAGGCAGTTCACAGTCGTCAAGCATTTGACTTAAGGAAGTTCAACTGTTAGTGCTTTGAGAGACAGAGGCCAAGTCAGAAGGTTAGACCGAGTCAGAGATCAGGAGACCAGATGCAGAGACTGAGACTGGGACAGGAAAGAGAGTTGCAGAAGGAGGGAAACCAAGGAAAGAGGGACAGAAAGAGACATTCGTGAACTTGAGTCCTTAGGTTCGAAACAGAGGTTTGGACACCTGCAGAGCTGGCCAGGACCTCAGAGACCATTGCGTTCAGTAGCTGGCGTTTTACACTAAAGAAACAAAGTGTAGTTAAGAGGTTTACTTGTGTAAACCTTTTAAGGAAAAATTTGATGCTGAGGGGTGAAAAAAAAGAAAGAAAGAAAAGATTTGCATGCTAAAAGTGGCAGAACTTTCATCGCCAAGGGTTTTTGAAATGAGGTTTGAAAAACGAAGAGCGGCAGGACAATAGCCGAGCAGCGGGGAGTTTGAGAAAATGTAACGCAGGAATTCCTGCTTCCGTCTGAGGTTCAGGACTGCGCGCTCCACGCCCTCCGTGCTGTCCTCTGGACCTCTTGCTCTACGGGTCCCTGAGAACAGGGGGAAGTGCTCCGGAGGAGGAACCCAGCCTAGCTCTTCCTTACCTCGCTCCTCTCACCTCGTTACTGCTGGATCTCCTCTGCTCTCAAAGCTCAACTCCATTATCACCTCTGCCAGGAATCTTTTCCTGATTTCTCACTTGAATTCCCGGGCCCAGCTGGTGCCCATCACTTCCTCCCGTGAGTCCCTCTGGACCCCCCCAGCTCCATGTTAGCCTCTTTTCTTTGCCCACCTTGTTGTATAAGAGTTCTCTTTGAAAATATTGATGAAGGAACAAATCCCTGCTCTATGGCAGGAATTTCAAAAGCCTTGGTCCTTCCTAATCTTCCCAACAAAGTAGCAAGGTGTGTTTGACCATACCCACTTTGCAGAGAAGAGAGCTGAGAATCAGAGAGAGTGAATAACTCGAGATCACAGAGCTAGTGTAAGTGGCAAAACCAGGACCCCAGCCCAAGTTTGCCCAGCTCCAGGACCCGCCCTCTTTCCAAAACACTTCACAACACGTTCCTAGGGCAGGAACTGTGTCTAGTCATCGTGTTTTATACACACTTGGTGCTTGACGTGTGTTTCTGAATGAATGAAACAGTAAATGGATGAATGAATAAAAGGAGTATCCTTTCTTTTGAAGGCCGTATCTCAAGGATCAGCCAGCCACAGCCCGAGAGCCCAACCCAGCTTGCCTCCTATTTGTACAAGTAATGTTCTGTTCCGACACAGCCACACCCACTCTGTCTGGTGTGGCCGCGGCTGCTTTTCTGCGCAGCAGGGGAGCTACCTTGTCACTCACAGAGGCTGTGCAGGCTCATAGAGCTGAAACTGTTTTGTATGTGGCCCTTTCCAGAAAAAGTTTGCTGACCTCTGCTGCGGTGTGTACTGAGCTAGTTAAAACAACAGTGCTTGTTGCTAAGTGCTGACAATCTTGTCTGTATGATCTGGAATAGTGTGTGTGTGTCCATGCGTGTGCATGGAGTGCCTGTAGAGTGTCAGACAGATCTCCACATGTGTCTTGTAGGGGCCACTTTATCGTTTTATAGGCAGGCTTCATCTGAAGAGGTTTACTCCACAGGCCCTTTGGCAATGCATATAGATATCCAAATTCAGTTTAGCTCTGTTGACAGCACCTTGGCATTGACGTGAGGAAGGCCGAGAGACCCTGGCAACAAAGATCTTCCTGAAGCAGAGGAGGGCAGACTCCCCCTCGGGACAGTCACCGTGGGGGTGGACTTTGAGGCTTGCCAGAACAGTATTGTCAGGGCAGTTTTTGAGCTGAATGAAAGGCAGCCTGGGTGATGGATGACACTCATTTTGTCTGCTCACCGTGGCCATCAGTATCCCAAGCTCCCAACGTCCCCTCCTCCCCTGGACCAAGAGCACTCTTCCAAGCCACCCCCTAGTGCAGCCTCTCGAGAGGCCAGCACGCTGCTTAGCCAGTCCTGCTCCCAGGAGCTCAGGACTGTCCTCTGGATCCCTGGCATCTGGGCCAGGAGCAGCACCAGAGCAGGGATTGGATAACTCCCACCCCAAATGCCCAACAGGCCAGGCGCTGGGACTGCTCGGGGGCGTGACGGATCTCAGGCTGCCTCCAGCATGTGCTCCCTGGTCAGTCCGCCTTTGGCCTTGCCCACAATGACAGGTCCATCACTCAGCCTGACTCATCTGCTTACCATTTCAGGACTGCTCTGTTACTCAGCCTGCTGCTTGGGTGAGTTGTGTGCTTGTGCGCGTGTGCCTGCATGTGCACTTGCATGTGTGCATGCATTGTTTTGGGAAAAAAGAGTCTTGGAAAGCAGGCTTGTTGTGAGAGCCTTCAGAAGGCTTTAAGTCTTAAACTGCTTGGCTCATGCTGGAATCGCCACATAAAAGGGTGTGACAGTGGAGATGGTGGGGGCTTTGGCACGTGCATGTGTGTATGCACTTGCGTGTGCCCATCTTGTGACCTTGACTTCAGAGTGGCAGGCTGGCAGCTGCTGCTCCCTTGGCTTTGGAGTAACACCGTGTTCTGTGGTCTGGGGCACTCCCAGCATTGGTGGCCCAGAAGCTCTGCATCAGGCTGCAGGCTAACGGGCATGGGTCATGCGACAGCAGCCACCAATTGCTGAATTGTTGTAGTTATGTCCTCACCTGTGTTCCCTCCTCACCCCAATGCCTGCTCAGGAGCAAATTGCAAGATGGCAAATTCTAATATGATCTGCGTTTCAAGGTGTGTATGGTATTGAAGGAAAATTGTCGGGTTAAACCTTTTCTGGAATATGTGAATTGGAGAAAACTAGGCAAATTACAAGCCAAAAAAGGTGAGAATTTGACTGTAGCTGAGATATCCGGCTCAGGGTCCAAACACTTAGTGATGCTCTGCCCTGCACCTCTCCTCTCCTCTTTGCCGGCTCCTTCTCAAAAAGGCAGGGAAAGGCCCAAAAGCAGGAGGAGGCAGAGGAACTTGCAGAGCTCACCAACCGTGTGAGCACTTGCAGTTTAGTTAGCGTGTGGCTACACCTGTCATTTTCCCAACCTGCTAAGACAAGATGTTTATGTCACTTCTTTCCTTTGGTAGCTTTTCAAAAATCCTCTCCTGAGGACATGCTTATTGATTTTAGAAAGATGGGAAGGGAGAGAGAGAAACATTGACTGACTGCTCTCATACGCACGTGCCCCGACAGATACTGAATCTGCAACCCAGGCATGTGCCCTGACCAGGAATCGAACCCGTGACCCTTTGATTTATAGGATGATGCTCTAAACAACTGAGCCACATCGATTAGGGCCCTTTGGTGGCTTGTAATGACACATTTGCTTGATTCAAGGAAGGCTTCTTGGTATTAAAAAAGGAGGCAGAAATGAAAGGGTTGCCTTTAGTACCCTGTTATGGGCTGGTCTTGGGAGTGGAGAACCAGGTGGGCACAGTGTTGATTTTGGTGTAAGATATATAAAAAGGACTCAGGAGACAGTTTGAGCCAAACTCCCTGTGGTGCGGTTGGGGCAACTGAATCTCAGTTTGGAAAGGGGCTTGTGCCATGTCACATGGTCACTCGCATCCAGACTCACACTCTCTGAGCCCAGTCCCTGTACTTCCAAGAGTAAGTTGGAGCGAATCACTTTCCAAGGATGTGCCCCAGGGTCAAGTGGTGTTGAGTCCAAAGGGCAAAGCCAGCACCAATGACAACAACCTCCTCCCCTGCAATCAAACGTTTGCCAAAAGCTCACATTAGATTCAGCATTGTTTCTGCCTGTGATTTGGCACCGCAGTGGCCACGTACAGTGTGACTTTGGTGTCTTTCAGTCAGGGCAAGTGGTCCTGAAATTCCGCCTTGTGGGCATTTCCGAGGCAGCTGTGTGGGGCGGAACCACATGGGGCAGCCGGGTTTCTGTTCCCCGTGTGCGCGCGCACACACACACACACACACACACACGCATGGTTTCTGCATCGCAGCAGAGCCTGCTGGGCCTTCTCCAGGCGGGACCCTGAGCTCCGTCAGACATGATTTCACGGAGGCAGCGTAGTCCAGAGAGACCCACAGGCCACTCAGATGACACCAAAATAGACATGCAAAGTCCTGGCTTAGTTGTCTGGAAAGAAGAGGCGGGGGGTGGGGAGAAGCTGTTCCCAAACACGTCCACCTGATGGAAATATTCTGAGTTGGAATGAGCTGTAAATAAACTAGACTGTGCTAAAAGCAAACAACCCCCGGGAGTTGGGGGCAGGGCAGAAATAGATGGCCTTCACCTGCTGGAATGATGTAGGTCAAGGGGGAAGGAAGGAGGAGGGGTGAACAATACAGAGGCCTCCACCGGAAAAGCAACGGATAATTTATGTTCCCTGAAGAGTTCTCCAGAAATGAGAGGTGGCTGCAGATGATTCAGGGCCTTTCATCCATGGAAGGCCACACAGGATGTGGGGCAAATTGCAGGCCATACATGGTCTGGAAAAATAAGTGGTCAGCAGTGCACATGAGCCATGGGAACCTACCAGCTTCCCAGGTGTTCCTGGCTGGGAGAGGCTTTGCGGGAACCCGCATCCTCAGCCCTTGCTGTCTGCTGAGGCCAAAGAGGCACAAAGGAGAAACTGCAGCTGGGGAACCTGGAAAGGTTGTGGAGTGCAGGCATGTCTGCCAGCCTGCTCCGCATGCCCGAGACAGAGAGGAGCAATGGAAGCTGCCCACTCCTGGCTTTAGGGAAGAAACTAGAAGAGGAATGCCATTGGCATTAGTATCAAGTTTTATAACAATAGAGCTACATTGGTTTACCACCGGGAAAGAGAAGAGCAGCCCAGGACAGCGGGAGCGGGCCTGCCACTCACAGCTTGGCCGTGGTGCTCTCCCACTGAGCATACATGATCTCACAGAACCACATCAGATGAGATCAGTCTGTGAGTGGGATGGATCAAGTCAAAAAACAAGGGCACTCTGTCACCATGTCAGACCCTGGCAAAATAAGACTACCAGCCGGCCACAAAAATGTCCAGCTAGCCCTCTGTCCTTGCTCGTGTGAGTGACTGCTGCTGCCTTACCTGTCATGGCTTCGACCTCCCTCTGAGCTTCTCCTCTGTTAGATGGGCATTAAGATAGTCGTAGGCTAGCCCTTGCTTCCTGACAGCATCCAGTCCAGAGCAGGGCCAGACTTTGCTTCCTTGTGGTCTCCCTCCAGATCACCTGCAAAAGCCCTAATCCTGGAACAAATACTTTCTCACCTCCTGTTACCAGATGCCCAGGGTTCCCCCTGGTGTGCATTCTTGCTCTTTGCAGTGAGTCAGTAGAGCTGACTGTGTTCAACTACAGGTACGTGCATTCCCGATGGTCTTTAGCTGAAGGGCACTGATACTATAAATCTCAGGGAGTTGCATTTTCCTTCTTCTTCTAAGATTTTATTTATTTATTTTTAGAGGGGAAGGGAGAAAAGAGAGGGAAAGAAACATCAATGTGTGGTTGTATCTAGTGTGCCCCCTACTGGGCACCTGGCCCACCACCCAAGTATGTGCCCTCACTGGGAATTGAACCAGCCACCTTTTGGTTCGCAGGCCGGTGCTCAATCCACTGAACCACACCAGCTAGGGCCATTCTTCTTAGCTCCAGCCTTTATTTCCACCCACATTGCAGTCATAGTGTAGAAATCCAGAAAAAGAACTCTAGAACCAGACTGCTTAGTTCAAAACCTGGCTTTGTCCCTTACTAGTTGTATGACCGTGGGCAAGTTGTTTCACCTCTTTGCCTCAGTTAACTGATCTGTAAAATGGGGATGATGATGATAATAACAACAGGACTTAACTCTCAGGGTTGCCATTAGGATTAGGTAAATTTACATGTGTGAAGCATTTAAATGGTGCCTGGCATGTTGTAAGTGGTTTTTTTAAAAATTGGTTTATCAAACATTTGAGGAACCTCTCTAGTGTATGCCAGTTACTGTGCTAGACCCTGGGGGTGAAAATTGGCTCCTCTCCTTCATGAAAGCACAAGTCTTTTAGAGAGATACGAGGACACAGATTCACCCCCTGGATTGAGGTTAATATGGGGTAAACCCAAAGGAAAGCATAGCAGAACCCCCCAGCCTTTGCCTGGGAAGTCAAGGAAAGCTTCCTGGTGGAGGCAGCTCCTAACAGTTCTTGATGTACAGTAAGAGTCTCCAGGATTGGTCAGGGTGTGGGAGGAGAGGGTGGGAAATGAGCAGAAAGGCCTTCGCAGCCACTCAAGCTCCACAGGCTTTACCACCTACAGGTCAGGGGCACCGTTTAGGCATCTTTCTATCTCCCACAGGGCTAGCCCAGTGCCTGGCAAAGCATGTGCTCGAATTAACAAACATCTAACACAAAATCTGGCAGCTTTCCCTACACACTAGTGCCTCCTCCAACTTTTCCATCTCATACTCTGACCCCTGTCGCCCTGGGTCGCCTGCAACATTAAAGGCGCCCTTGATTGTTCCTCCTCTTTCACTCCTACCCTGACCCCTCGTTTCCTTCTCCTCAATAATATGTGTATCAGAAGACTCCACGAGACAATGAAACTATAAGGTCCAGGGCCCCCTCTTCATCTCCTCACGCCCATGCAATGACACATTTAACAGTAACTCTCTAGTGAGCATGGGTGACACCGAATGTGTGTGGAGAGTGTGGAGTCAAATATGTGTTCAAACCAAGGCTCACCATTTCCCGTGGTCAACGCGACCTCCAGGCCTGGCTGCCTCCCTCTCTGAACAATTCCTCTGAGCGCAATATCAAAGTTATTCACGACTTCCTTCTCCCAGCTACATCTCATATCTTGAGTCCATGTGAACTTGAATTCCTCGCCCCGTCTACAAAGTGACAAGTCGGTGCCTGAAGAAGAAGTGAACCTTAAAACAGTCAGTGTTCGTGTCATTTGCTCATTTATCTTACTCACGTGGTCTCACCAAGGCCAGGGAAGGGCTCAGCCAAACAGTGAACAGGAGGTGCGCTGCCATCTAACAGGTTAGGAAGCCTGGGGTGGCAGCATGGGTCTCCCTCCGGCACAGTGGGCATGACAGAGGCCCTGGCCCTGGCCCTGACCCTGACCCCATGCTAATGAGCAGCAGTTTTCTCTAAACAGCCCTTCCTGGCCTGGATCAGAAGAAGCGTGGAAGCCACAAAGCATGCTGCATGCTGACGCCCCCTCCACCCCCACTGTTCCCACCGCCATTCTTCAGAGGGGGGCGGAGTACGGTGAGTACCGGAGGACACGTGAGGGAACGGAAATGTGGGCGCCTCGATGCCCACCACATGCCCCGCCCCACGTGCCCCATCCCTCAAAGTCACTTCCTCCAGAATTGTCTCCAAGGGATTCACGCCTTTGCTCTCAGACGGCAGGTTGAGCCTTGGGACGGAGTTTTCAGCTCCTGGTGTGCGACCATTCTCCCACCATGTAAACAAGTTACAGAGGGAGATTCTTCTCAGCAGGGAATTGGATTTGGCAAAGTATCCCATCTTCCCGAAAACAGTGAGGTGACTGTATAAATTTCTGGGCTCCCATCAGCTGCTCAGATATGGAATTTCCCCTTCTGTTGTCCTCCGCACCCCCACAAGTGTTTATGGAATTCCCTTCCACAGCCTGTCTCTGACTCAGACCGTTTTGGGGAGGCGGTGCAGGAAGCGGTCCTCCTGCAGCCGTACCGAGGTGTGAGAGGGAACAGAATTTGGGAAGAGAGGAAAAGTGAAGAAAAGAGCAGTCTTTGGGGACCTGACCTAGAAGAAAATAGGTGGGACTTGAGAGTCTCAGATCTTTAAAGAAACTCTTCCACCTGTACTGTCCAATACAGCCACTAGCCATATGAGGTTACTGAGTACATTTAACGTGGCTGGCTTGAGTTGAGCTATACATAGATGCACTGAATTTTGAAGACTTCGTGTGAAAAAAAAAGACTATGAAATATCTTACTAATTTTGAAATATTGAATCTGTTTTGAAATGATAATATTTGGGATATATTGGGTTATAAAAGATATTATTAAAATTAATTCCACTTGTTTCCTTCTACCTTTTTATGTGACTACTAACAGAGTGAGAACTACCTGCATGGCTCACGTCGGTAGCTCACATTCTCTTTCTTTTGGGCAGTGCTGCCCTAGACATTGGATAGAGTCCCCTGAATGAGCTCCCTAACTCCATCATTATAGCTCTGTAATCCATTCAAGCCAGGAATGTGTCAAGAATGGATGAAAGAACAGACACTTGTGGTCAGGAAGGACATCTTCTTGGGATACCCACTGGGGCATCAGGGAAGCGCCAGTCCTGGGAACTGGACTATAGAGCAGGCCTGTGTTTAGGGTGCTGACCCCTCTCCCATCCCCCAAGTCTGACCTGTACACATGTATCGCTTTGCATTGAAGCTCCTCTCCCCAGACATGGAGAACCTCATCCTGGAACTGGAGACCACGCCGTCCCCGTGCGCGCAAGGATCGCTCGGCTCCCCTGGGCCTCCTGGCCCCCAGGTGGGTGCCTCCCCCAGACCTCCCTCGCCGCCTCCTGTCCAGAGCAGTGAAGCCTCTTCGAGATGCCCGTTTTCATGTGGTGTGGGGCTGCTTTTCCTCCTCTGGCTCACCTCCGGAGCCCATGGATAGAACGCTGCTTCTTTGGGTGCCCTGCAGCCTCGCAGTCTTGGTTTCCTCACGCCTGCAGTGGGGATCATATGTGTCGCTGCAGTACTGGATTTAGGGTGGAGGACCCAATGAGATGCCGCCTAGGTGGATGTGGTTATTATTACAGTCACTATTGTCAGCTACTTGATGACAGTGGGTTGCCCCTTATGTGGCCATTGACCCCATCAGTGGCCTCAGAGCTACCTGCAGTTAGTGCAGGAAAGTGGAGGCAAAAAGGAACTTGTTATGTTGAGCTCATTTGGCCCAGATGCGGCTACCCAGCAGCCCACCCGTGCCCAGCAAAGCTAAAGGGAAGAGTGAGGAACAGGCAAAATACTAGAGAAAGGATTTTCTATGGAAGCAAAGAGACCTTGTCTCCCAGACTCCTGGCTCCTCTGGCTGCCTGGGACAGGGGCCCCACCAAAGAGGAATGTCCCCTAGCCTGGGGTTCCGGGCCTGCCAAGGGGAAGGAGCAGTCAGTTCCCTGGGTGCCTTAGGGATTCTCTCACCCTCTCGGGTAACCCCTGCTGTGGCTTCCCAAGTCGGGAAGCCTGAGAGACGCACCCCTCATGCTGGTTGCAAAGCCCCCTGCAAGGAGACCCTGGCCTGTATCCCCTACACCATCTCATGCCACCAACCCTGTCCACTCGAGGCAGCCACAGTGCGTGTCGTGGGTCCTCAAGCACACCAAGCAAGTTCCAGCCTCACAGCCTTTACACTGATGGCTCCAGCTGCTCGGAACATTCTTCGCTGTGATCATTACTACGGCCAGCTCCTTTGTCACTCTGAACTCAGTTAAATGCCACCTCCTCAGAAACGTCTTCCTCAACCCAGCAGGCTGTAGTAGCCTTCCCCATCACTCTCCCTTCAGTGGCCTTTTAATTCTCTGCAGATTCTTCTCTGGTTGTTATAGTTTCTTTAGTCATTTTTATGTTCCTGATCTCTCTGGTCTCCTTTCCATGAAGTGTCAGCTTTGTGGCTAGGGCTGGCCAACTACGGCCCACAGGTCAGACCAGCCTCTCTATGTGATTACACTTTCATTGTCTCTGGCCGCTTTTGTGCTACACGGACAGAGTTGAGTCGTAGTGACAGAGTTGCTGTATCACAGGCGCAGCCTAAAACAGTTACCGTCTGGCTCTTCACACAGAAAGTTAACTGACCCCTGACTGTGAGAGCAGGAGCACTGTCCCATTCATGTCTCGTGTCTATGGACACAGTGCGTGGAATGTGACAGATTCTCCATAAATGTTTGTTAAATGCAACAAAGCATATAGGACCTGGGCCCAGAGTTGGCCACGGGGGCTGAGAAGTCTGTAGAAGGGCAAGAAGGGCACCCTGAGGGGGGTTTCCACTTTCCCATGGTCTGTGCTGTCAGCTGTCAGCCCAGGGGAACTCCCAGGCCATGGGGAGAGAGGGTCTTCTCTGCAGACCAGCACCTCTCTGGCTGCACTGACTCATGTCTAAGCTCCCACCTGAGTCACATGGGGCTACGCTGGCCCACTCCAGGGGACTCTGCAGCCACCTCGGTTCCCTCAGAACGCTGTCCCTGCGGAAACGAGACTGTGGACCAGCAACACTGGCATCATCTGGGAGCTTGTTAAAGATGCAGAATCCTGTGCCCCCCCTCCCCAGAACTCCCCATCCCCATTTGGTCAAAATCTGCATTTTCACAGGATGTCCCAGCAAATCATGTGAAGGGCAGAGCTAGGGCGCAATGGCCTGGTAAAATAGTTCTAGCCCATTTTAAGAAATGGAAAAACTGAAGCTTGAAAAAAATAAAAGACCAAACAAAAATTCTTTGTCCTCCCCTCCCCAAAACAGAAGGAGGCTGAACCAATGATGGTGGTTTCCAAATTTATCTGCACATTAGAATCCTGGGGGAACTCAAAAAATTCCCGAGGCTGTGCCCCTCTCCCTGAGCCTGTGATGTGCTTGGTCTGGGGTGTGGCCTGCTCTTCGGGATTTTGGAAAGACCCCAGGGAACCCTAATGTGCAAACAGGCTTGGCAACCACCGGCTGAGGGGGCTGGTTGTCCTTCGGACAGTTCTCATAAAATCGTATTTCAGACAGGCTTTGTGTTAGGTGTGCTCACCTGCAGACCTTGGGGGTAAAGTAGTAATCTGGGGGTTGATGGATTTTCTCTCTGCTTTGCTGGGGAATTTGGAAACAGACAGTTGATCATGTCATAGACGCATGAGCAGAAAGCAGCTGCATTCTGCTGCGGGTGTGCCAAGCCTTAGCGCAGTGGGTGCTGGAGTCCCTGAGCTAGAGTCAGCCCCACTGTGTGGCTGGGCAGTGGGACAAGATGTACTATTTACTTGCCCACATTCTTAATGTCTTAAAACAGAAGACTTTTGCGGCACCTACTACCCGTAGCTCCACCACAGAATTCCTGAGTTGGCGGCTCCTGTGTGCAAAGGGTGACTTCCCCCTTGCTTTCAGCAAACAGCATTTCTTCAGAGCTCTTTAGTTGCTCTCACTTAGCACTCAGGATATTTCAGGCAACCCAAGCATTCCAGGAGAAAATTAAACTCACAGAGAGCAGATGCAGGCATTGCAACCTTGGAACCACTGGAAACACGGCTCAGAGAAGCTGGAAGGGGAAGAACACAGAGGAGGGACCTGGGCTGGAGGGTACCAGAGGGTCCTTCGTGGTGTTTCTGGAGCTTGGAGCCCACGTAGAGAAGGAGGCTGCTGCAGGGGTGATCCAAGGGCCTCGCCCCGGTCCTCCTGCTGCCCTCCCTACTGTTCTGCCTTGGTCTGATGTACACTCTCTTCGCTTCTTATCTTGATTGTGTAGGGTCCACCGGGGCTTCCAGGCAAGACGGGACCAAAAGGAGAAAAGGTAGGAGCCACTACTCTCTCCAGCCCACCTCTCCTTGGTAATTCTCGCCTGTTTTTGGCCCCTGAGAATTTTCTGGCTGAGATTCCAAGGCATGTGCTCATTCTGCTTAGTGCATGAGGCTGGGCTTCATGAGGACGGGTCTGCTGCTGCAGGTGTGGGGGCCCACAGCTTGGCTCTCTGATGGGGCACATGTGCTGTGAGTGGCCAAGTGACTGAGCCACATGGGCATGCCCAGTCACCAGCCCGCTGCTTCCAGAACTTCTCTTCCAAAGCAGCCTCTGCTTACCTGTCTTTTCCATCCACAGGGGGAGCTTGGCCGACCAGGAAGGAAGGTATGGTCCATGCATTTCTGTCAGCATTACATAGGCACGTGTGTGTGTGTGTGTGTGTGTGTGTGTGCACACACACTCATTGGGGTGGGGAACCAGCAGTGCCCTACTGTGGCCTCCAACCCATTGGACAGTGGTGGCACTACCATCCTGATTATGACAGTCACAGCTTTGCTCTTTCTCCCACTCCTTCACTTGGGCGCTGGCATGTGCTACTGCCAGGCATCTGGACTTATTCCCAAGGCCGCCAAGCCTGGCCATGTTTCCCCAGTCTCAGAGCACCTCATCCCACCATGCACCAGAGAAACCCTCCAAGGCCCTGGCCTGCACCACAAAATGGCTCTCATAGTCTGTTAAACTAGAATAAAGTGCAAACAGACAGAAACAAATGGCTTTTGCTGAAATAAATGGGAGTCACTTAAGGTCACAGGGCCTCTGAGTGAACCAAACACATGTTATTGAGACTCTCATTAATGTTGGGAAAGAGGAAACCAGCAAACATTCGCTGCGGTCAGTGGGTGTGGGGTGCTAGCACTGACATTGTGGGTCTTGGTGATAGAAGGAGGTTCAAGCCTGTGGCCGAGAAAGATGCCTGTGGTTCTAAATAGAAATCACTATTTTTTTTTGGTTGAATGTTTTATTCAAACATTTGCACTCTCAATTAGAACCTCAAACAGACCTTTGTAAGGCAAAGTTACAACACGTCAGGGCACAGATGACAACCGCAGCCAAGGCACAGTGGTGGTCCAAAGTGCCGGGCTGGAAAAAACTCTGGCATGGTCCTCATGCTCATGGTCCCCATGATTAATGAGTGATGTGTGCCATGGATGTGGGAGGCAAGAGCGGACATTGGTACCCATGCCAGCATTTGTGATTCCTGGTTTAGGGGCTGAGCCTTCCACACCTCTTGCTAGGCTGAAATTTGCCAGTGGGTGCAGAGGTCAAGATAGGCCCCAAGTCCCTGCTCCCACTCTTTCAGGGCTTCCTCTTTCATAGCCCCCAGCTTAGGTTGAGCTCCTTAGAAGCAGAGGCAGAGATGGCTTGTGCTGTGTGCAAGTGAATCAGTTATCGTAGTAAGGGAGCTTTCCCAGGAGGAGACTGAGAAGAGGGGGCATCCAGATGGGTCAAGGGAAGAAGCTCCAGGTGGAGTGGTAGCAGGTGGTGCCCAGCTTTTGCCTGACCCCTGGGGGAGCTGTGGTGTGAGAACTGCACCACGCAGTTTGTGTTGCCTTGAAGTAGGGGAGCTGGGCTATTGGCTGCAGGGAGGGGAAGTGTGGAGGTTGCCAGGCAGCTCCTATTGCCCACAGGCAAACTCCATAGTCGCTGGGTGCAGGAATGAGCTGGTACAGCAAGGGAGGTAGCCCCTGGGGGAGGGCCATGGTGAGCAGGAAGTGGTAACAGCATTTGCTGCTGCTCCCCAGACATAATCTATGCCACTTATGTCATCCTTGGGGAGAAACTGTTGGAATGCAGGGGACTTTTGGGTTGTTGGGTGGCAGTGATAAAGATTGAAAAACCAAGAAATTTAGAATCCTTTCTCCACCACTTTTCATTTCTTCAGTAGAAGACCTTGTGTGTTGACACAATGTCACACCTAGGGCTTGCACTAATGCCCCAGTGATCCAAGCTTTTGGCCATCAGTGTCTGGAGATGAGGGTTCTGGGGCCATGATTTGAGGCCCCATACTCCTCCGGGCCCAAGAGACAAATCTTATTTCCTACAGGGGGAAACAAGCCCAGTTGTCCTTACTTTTGTTCTCTGACTCTGAAGGGTAGACCTGGCCCCCCGGGTGTTCCTGGCATGCCTGGGCCCATCGGCTGGCCTGGCCCTGAAGGACCCAGGGTAAGTGTGGCATGCTTGCAGGGTTCGAGCGGTATCAGAACATGAGGGAGAAGATGGCGGCTCCCCTGACCCCTGGCACATAGTGAGTGATTCTCACTTCCTCTAGGTCTCAGTCAGTCCAGCAGCTCTGCTCCTGTAGGGGGAGAAATGAGGGGCCACTGCCTTATTTCACAGGATCCTGGATTCTCCCTTGACCTGAGAGTTAGCATGCAACTCTTTGGTTTCTCTGAGATGACCCAAGAGGGGGTTGTGTATGGAGAACTCTTGGCCTGTCCTGCTGACATGGCTAGAGGTGGAAAGTTGAGGGGGTTGGCCTCGGCTGGCTAGGACAACTGAACCCAGAGAGGGATCACCAAATGCTGATGAAATCCCCTTCCTCGGACAGGTTAGGGAGAGCTAACAGGTCCTCACCCATGCCTCAGTTTACATTCTTCTCACTTTGGTCATAGACTATTGAATATAGAGGCCATGACTGGGGCAGGGGAATGCACTATCTATTCTGATTCACCTGCTGGCAGAATTTATAAGGGAATAGAAAACTTCCCCATCCTTGTAGGAAAAGTCTTAAGGATGTTTTTTTAAAAAATCAACTGTATAAAGCTGAACCATCCAATATGGCAGCCTTGAGCCACATGTGGCTACGGAGCCCTTGAAATGTGGCCAGTGTGACTGAGAAACTGAACTCTTAATTTTAATTAGTTTACCTTTGAATTTTTAAAACTTTTACTCAATTCAGTTATTTGAAAACATTTAAGTATATAAAGTATGTGGATTACATGTTGAGTATGTGAATTTGCTTTTTCAACTATAAATTTTGTGAACTCTAAATACAGATCATGTATTTTGGATGAAAATGTAGTGCCTGAATTGAGATGTGGTTTAAATGTAAAATGCAAAACAGATTTTAAATATATCTCATGAAAAACAAAATGTAAAATATCTCATTAGTAATTTTTATATTGACTATATGTTGAAATGATAATTAGATTACATTAATTACAGTAAAAATAATATACTGATAAAGTTAATTTCACCTGTTTAGTTACACTTTTAATATGCTTCTAAAAATTTTAAAATTAAGTGGCTCACCTTACGTTTCTACTGGTTAGTACCGGTGTAGAGTTTTCGAACAGGAAGTGCCAGAAGTTCCCACCGCAAATGATTCCGAGGGGCTGCAGAGCCACCCTGCCTCCATTGTACACGCCCGAGGTTGATGGTCAGCCTACTTGGTTGCAAACCTAGGGCAAGCGTACCCGGAGATGTCTGAAAGACCCCCCCTGTGCAAAGGGCAAAGGAGGGGAAGTTTTCTGGTGTGCTGACACTTTGTCCTCTGGGGCCCCAGTGTCCCAAGCTGTCCTCCTCCCCACCCTCTTATAGCTTCTCTAGGAAAGGACCGAGCGTTACTCCTTTTCAACATCTCGGTGAAAATTTGCTTTGGAGATCTGCTCTGACGTGGGCAATTTCATGTCATGTTTAATCTCAAACACCAGAGTGAAATGTGGAGAGCAGAGCCTCAGGCCCCGGGGAGGAAGCAGGGAGCATTTGGGGTCCTCAGGTTCACTAGCCAGGCCCTGTGCTCCCCATTTCTTTCTGATCTGGCCCATGACTTCCTGGTTCAGTTTCTCCGGGAAATGCCACTGTAGGTCTTCTTCCCCCTTCTTCTGATTCCCACAGGGAGAAAAAGGTGACCTGGGTCTGATGGGCTTACCAGGGTCAAGAGGACCAATGGGCTCCAAGGTCAGTGTGTTGGTCCAGATGGATGTTCCCAGATCTCACTAAGGCTGTGGAGCAGCTGTTATCTGCAAAGATGGGGATGGGGTGTGGCTGCGGACCAGGCCAGGCCATGTCACTGATATCGGGCAGCCTGATGCCAGAGTGCTTGTCTTTACCAGCCTTTGGGGGACATCAGGGCAGGGACACAGGGGCATAGAGATACCATTCCTACTATTCTGCTGGGCAGCAAAGGTCAAGCCTCTGGACAACAAAACAGATGGGAATCTTTGTTCAGGCCTTTGTGGGGGTGGGTAAGGAAAGCAATGTTCTTTTTAGGCCTGGCGTAAACACAGTCCTGGGGACCTCCGTGGACTGAGTGCTGCAGCCCCCACTAAAACTTGCTCTGCCCTGAAACACGTCTCACCACCACGTGCAGGGACTCCTTCCACTCTCACACCAAACCCAGAGGTCCCATAGGGCTGATTGTCAATGCACCTTCTGCTTTCTTTTAGGGCTACCCCGGATCCAGAGGGGAAAAGGTTCGTGCTTGTCTCTCCCAGCTCCCCAGAGCGGGTCTGGGCCCTAGGCGCTGGGGTCAGGGAGGATGGGCCCAGGTCTCTCTCTAGTCAGTGACTGCAATGCCCATGCCTAGATATTCCCCGTCTTTGATCAGTGGGCTGAGAGAGGGGTCCCTGAGGCAGGATCAGCAGCTTAGGGGAGCTCCCAGTGGAGGGAGAGGCCCCTCACATGGAGCAGAGGAGCAAGAGGCGCCAGCTTCCACAGTGTGCTGGAGGGAGATGGCAGATGTGTGTCTGCAGCCCAAGCTCTTACCACACAACCTTCTCATCTGTCAAAAACCCAGCCAGAACCTGGCACACATTTCCTACAGGACAAGAGAGGATCTGGGGCTCAGAATCTTATGTGAGTCATCCTTTATTAATGCAGGAGGTACTTGGGGCCCACAGAGAAGGTAAATCACAAAGCATTCCTTCCCTGGGCAAATCACCTATTCTCTGAGCCTGTTTCTTTGCCTGTGAAGTGAAGGCATTGGCTGAGGGAGCTCCTGGTTTAAAATGCTCTGATTTTTCTCCTGTGATAGTAACTCATTGCCTCTGTCCTGTGGTTTTCTCTTAGGGATCCAGAGGTGAAAGGGGGGACTTTGGTCCCAAAGGAGAAAAGGTAATGGCTATTGCATAGAAACCATCAACTACAAAGGAAGTTGGCCACCCCCTCTTGTGGGCTGGCCCCCTGATGACTGGCTGGCTGGTGGTCGGTCTGACTAGCTGCCTGACCAACTGACTGGTTGCCTGTCTGTCTGTCCAGCTGACCGACTGACTGGCCGACCAACAGGGCTTTCTCTTGAAAATGGCAGACTAAGCTCTTCCATGCCCTTTCAAGTGTCACTTCAGAGACGGTCACTGTATTTGTTGTTCTCTTCACAGGGCTTCCCGGGATTTCCTGGAATGCTGGGGCAGAAAGTGAGTACCTAGAAGTACTAAGAAATAGAAGTAGTAAAAATAGAAGTAAAAAAAAATACACCATCCAAGGACAACAAAAGAGGCCTGCCTTGCTCTTCATCAGACAGGAAAAGTCTCTGTATGGAAGCTTCTAGTTTGGAAGGGGAGCAAGTTGCTAAACATATTGGTGACAGGGTGGCGGGGTGGTCTGAGACCCCTCCAGTTCAATGGGAGGGCAAGGACACTTCAGCTGGGTGGACAGACGCCCTTCTTTGCATTTGCTACCTCTTAGAGGGCTGTGGTCACGTTCGAAGGCAGATAGCTCTGCGCAATGAGGGCCTCGGGTCTGAGCGGCCATGGTCAAGGGCCCCAGAGGGAGGCACAGGCATCTCTGGCTTGATGCCACTGCTGACTACGCCCAGCTTGGCCCTGCTTCAGGGCGGCACAGGTGTGTGGAGCTATTTCAGCTGGGTGACAGCAAACATTTTTTATTTGCTAGTTAAATTTTTCACTTAAATCATTGAATATTTAGTGAGATTTCATGAATATCTTGCTTGGGACAAGGCTGAACAAAAAAAGAGCTAATTCAGTTGATTGACATAAAAAGACTTATTACATAAGAATAAAGTGGTGGGCAGATATGACAAAAATGGTGAAGGTGACAGTTGACGGGCAGAATTTTTTTGGAAAACTTTTCCTAGGGCTAGGGCCTGGCGAAGAAGCTGGGGTGGTGGTGGGGGGAGGTGTCAGAGGCTGAAGAGGGAGTGTGCACCAGTGACCACGGAGAGCGACGACTCCTCACCTGCCTTTGCAGCGCAGGGTCCTCATGTGCCGTGAGGCCCTGGCAGGGAAATGGTTATTTTAACCTCGGCTCCGGAGCACAATGTTCTTCAAACATGCAGATGAGATGCTTTCTTAAAATTCTAATTTTTTTCAAGTTCGCCTTAAAGTTTTATTTTCCAAACAGGAATAAACAATTTTTATCTGATGTCCTCCAGTCAGTAGAGCATATTAAATAATTTCCTCATCTGACATTAATTTATTATAATTTATCACTGCCTTAAACTGTCAAAAACGTGTTCTGCTAACCAGAATGGGGTCTTATGTTAAAAATAGATTACTTTGCCCTGGCTGGTGTATCTCAGTGGATTGAGTGCCGGCCTATGAACCAAAAGGTTGCTGGTTCAATTCCCAGTCAGGGCACATGCCTGGGCTTCGGGCCAGGTCCCCAGTGGGGGACGTGTGAGAGGCAACCAATCAATGTCTCCCTCTCCTTCGCCATCCCTTCCCCTCTCTCTAAAATTAAATAAAGTCTTTAAAAATAGATTATTTAAATAAGCAAATGAAACAGTAAAAGAGAAAAAATAATTTTATTTAAAAATATTTAGGCAGGTTTTTCCTTCAGTGTAACAACGAACATCAAAGAATAATAAATGATTGTAAAATTCAAGATGACAGCTTCTCTGGTCTCTGCTCCATTTCCTAGACTTGCCATCGAGAGTCTGCTTCCCCTTTTGTTGCAGGCTCTTTAAGACAGAGCTGATATGATAACCATAATTAGGTCATAGGAGAGAAATTAGATCAACAAATTACTGGCTGCTTCCAGCTGATGAAGAGAAGGGCCACACTTCCTTCTAATAGTCTTAAAAAATTATGCTGTTTATGCTGCTGTTTTCTTCCAGCCAAATAAGAAACCCCTCGGTCCCTTCTAAGCAGCCAAAGAAAATTGTGCCCACACCCCCATGGCCACTTATCCCCTCACCCTCTCACTGCTCAGCATCCTGAAGGACATGGTGGGGAGTTGGAAAAAAAATTACAGGTTTAAGGACAATTCTTGGTGAGGCAAAATGTTGGTAGCTGGAGTAAAGACAAATTCATTCCATTGGCTGAGCTGACAGATGATCTCAGAGATTTTTGCACGATCCTTACTGTATCTTGATATTCCCTGGAATTTTCCACGTGTTATACCTCCTCTGAGTGTCTGGGAACGCTCTCCATGGACACTGGCTGCTGACGGACAGAAACTCCCGAGGTTGCCATTGCTAAGTTTAGCTGGTGAGCAGTGCATTCCGGGCTGTAGTGGGATTACTGGAGATGGGAACAGCGCCCTGTGAGTTCATGATCCAAAGAAATAGCAAGAGGGCCTGGAATCCCAGAGGCCCTTGGGGAAAAAGAAGAGAAACTAGAATGGAGAAATGGGTTTTATGAAAGATTGGCCTTAAATATAGAATTCTGCAATTGGTACACTTGGTTCTAATACTTCAAAGTAGGGCTTTTCAACTAGGAATATTGTTTATACTGCTTTCTATGCCTTTACAATAACTAGCATATTTGGACATATGTCTGGAACATCTCTCCTTACAAAGAGTTTTCATCTGAATCAAAGGGAAGTGAGCTGGGGCTCAAACCAAGTTTTACTGAAGAGTGGGGAAATGTGCCACCCTTTGTAAAGGTCTTACACGAGCAGAAACTTCCAAAAATGGTAGTTGTCAAAAGTGTGTCCAGTCATTCAAAGCCCCACAGATTTATGCTTAAAACAAAACAAAGCACAACCTAAAGTTTCAACTAAAAAAGAAAGCATGTTCCCTGACAGCTTGTAGTGTCACAGGCACACTTGTGACTACAACACAGGAGCCTCCCGCTGTGGCCATTCTGGGTGGTGGTTTGGGACACTAGCATGTGTCGTGCCTGGGAGCTGTGTCCCTCAGATAATAAATCCCCCACCCAGGGCAGGCTTCTCCTCTCCTCCCTGGTCTGTGAAAAGTCTGTCTCCCTTTCACATGACCTCACCACTTTTCCAGTCTCCCAGAGCAGCCCGCTTTGAACAGATTTGGCATGATCAAGTAAGACTGTCCTCATGGCCAGGGACTGGGTAGACCTGCAGAGATGTGCCTGCTCCACGTGCCCTAATTCCTCTCTTGCTTCTCTTTTCTCTTTCCAGGGCGAAATGGGTCCAAAGGGTGAGCCTGGAATAGCAGGACACCGGGGACCCACAGGAAGACCAGGAAAACGAGGCAAGCAGGTAAGGGTCCTGGGGCCATACCACACCCTGGCAGTCAGACCTCCTCACCTTGGGGGGGCGCGGTGTGGAGAGGCAGTGCGTGGAGTCAATCAGATATTCCATAGACCCATTCTTCAGCTTCCTCTGGGTTCGTGGGCAGCAGTTGCACCACTTTCAGGAGCTCCTGGTTTCTCTAGGTTAGCTGTAGTTTGAATAGATGGGATAGGACGCCACGTTCCAACTGTTTCCAGGGCTAGGAGCAAGAGTAGATCTTTGGTTCATGAGAACAGGGCTACCTTCACCAAAGCAACTGGGAGTGGAACCAGATCTGGTCTTTTACCCAGAAAACTGCTTTTTGCCCCAATGCCTCAGACACAAATGGAGTTTTGGAGAACAGCCCAGATACTCCCAGCTGTGGAAGGGTCTTGTGGGTCTCAACTATTATCGAGTGGGTGGCTTTTCCCCCCACTCAGGATCTCAGTTTGTAAGTGACCCTCTTTATTGGCACTATTAAGGGTTTAGGGAGATTTTTCAATCTGAACTCCCCTTGGTCAGCAGGCTCTCATGGCAAAACACGTGAAGTGAGAGAGCGAGGAGAGAGGGAGGCGCGGTGGCCGCGCTGGCTTTGGAGCGGTCCCCAGGGCCCTAGAGAAACCTCTCCCCTGAACTCTGATGGACAGACGTGTGTGAGAGATGTGCCCCTTTACTTTTTAGGTTGTCAGTTTGTTGGCTTTTTACCTCCTTTCCAAGTCGAAATGTTATACATGATCATCGCAGAAAACTTGGAAAATTCAGAAAAGTGGAGAAAAAGTCATCTAAAGACCTAACACCCAGGCATAACCATGGAACCACTTTAGTATATTTCCTTCCCAACATTATTTCTTTTGTGAACTTTCTAGTTATTTGTTTCCTTTATATCTGATATATAGTTGTTATATCATAAAATTTTAATTTAAAACTCATAATATATGCATTTTTACTCATTACTACAGACAGTCATTAAGCATTTTTAACATCTTTTAAAAACATCTGCATCAGAGTTCAGTAAACGAGCAGGATTGCTCGGACAAGAGAGGCCTACCCAAATGTTGAGAAGTGAACATCTTCGAGCAGTAGTTGTAGCTCCAGGTTGGCCTCTCCTTGCCCCCAGTTCCTAGGCCTCACCTCCCAAAGACTCTGCTGCACGTGACCTGGCGTGAGGCTTCAGCATGGATGGTTGTTTTTTAAAAGCTCTCCACGTGATTCTAACACGTAGCCAGGGTTCAGAACTGTGGTAACATAGGAAGCCAATTCTGATCCTTTCCAAGTGAACTTAGCAATGACACAGCCTCCAACCTCAATAATTCAGATTTCGCGGTAACTTCTGAAGTCACAATATTCCAGTTCAGTCTTCAGAGTTTGACACTGGGTGGCATGACTGTGCCTTCATGATGCTGCCAGCTACCACCTTCCTAAAAACTAGGCTCAGAAAAGGGGAAAAGGGGGAAAGCTTTCTTTTCAGATCATTTTCTCCCTTACTGCTTGCTGACTTCCATCCAGAAGTTTCCATACTGGGGTTCAAGAAGACTTTTGGCTTCTGTTGCCTAGTTCTTTACTTGGGCAGCATTTGTCTTTCCCTGGTGAGGGCTGAAGCTGAGAAGTTGAAAGAGATGTATGTAGTTGTAGTAATCTCCAAAATGACACCAGAGCCATGCCTGGAAGCTCAGAGGGGCTAGGAAAGCGAGCTCACCCTTTCTACAAGATGTCATAGACAACTGAGGAATCCGATTCCTCCATGTCTGTCTGGTCCGCAGATACTTGGAGCTTGCCACAGTGCTTTCTTTTTGTTGTGAATTAATTTCCTAGCATAGATCCTTATATACCAAGTATTCGTTGAGCCAGTAGTACTAAAAGGTTCTGGAGGCTATTGCAAGTCCATCCAAATCCTAGAATCAGAAATCCAGAAGGGACATTAGGGAATTAGAATTTCAGAGCCAGAGGATTTTTGTGACTACCCATCTCAATTACCTTCACAAGGAAACTGAGGTCCAAATTAGCAGAGTGGCCTGCCGAGGGCCACTCATTGAAGCCACCTTCCATGCCAGTGGTGGATTCAGAGAGCTGAAACCAGCTTTCCCCCACATCACATCTTCTCTCTGACCTTCATGCTGTGGGACTTGCCTTCAGGTAGGCCCAGGAAAGCAGCTCCTGACTTCCCTGTACAAACCTGCAGTTAAGGAGACAGAACAACTTTTGAGAGGAACCACCGCACTTGGTGGTGGTGATAAAGGGATAAAGAATGCTTGGTGGTGGCAATGAAGGGATAAAGAATACTTTTCCTGGAAAGCGCTGCTCCATGAGTCTTGCTCATGGAGACATGGCTTGTTCTGAGAAGATGACCGAAAAGCAGAATCTTCCATCACTGATGGTGTCAAAATCAGGAGCGTTTCCAGCACCTTGAAACCAGGGCACTTCCTGTGCTCATAGCCAGCTGACCTGGCTGTTAGAAAAACAAGCCTTAACTGTGGCTATATTAAGATGGTGTGACTTCCTTTGCCATTCTGGGACCCATCTTGGTTACCTCACAGAATGCTTCACCTTAGGCTAAGGCTTAAGACTCCCTCCATCAGGATGGAATTAGAAACAAACTCTGACACCTGAGTCCCACAGTGACAGTTTAAAAACTCCTTGGACATCGCCGAGAGAGCCCCCAGGGCCATGTTGACAAGGGGGTAGGTTACATGTCACCATGGTGACTGGAAAGGAGTGTGCCTGGCATGCCTGCATCCCAGACTTGGGGAAGATCACATTTCATCAGATGGCAAGCCTGCCAAGGCACAAAAGTAGAAAGGGGACCCAGGACAAAGATGTCGGGCATCAATCACTGTCCTGGTTAAGCCTGGGGCAAGAGCAGACCATTAAGAAACTGTGGGGAAAGAATGCACAGGCCCTGGTTTCTGAGTCATTCCTAAGGGCAGTCCTGAGGGGGAAATCTTTGCTCCTGGCCCTCCCAGAATGGAGCACAGAGGACACCAGCCCCTGTGGAATGACTGCCGCTGCAGGTGGGCCTCTCTTTAAGAAACTGGGACTTTTCCAAGGGTGTGAGAAAGACGAAACCAAGCCAGTTGCTATGGTAACCAATTTGCCCTATGTAGCCCTTGGTTCCATGCAACCTCTGTTTTCACCTCTGAGATCTTTGTTAGCTTCACAATAAACCATGCAGGTGTATACAAGTATTTTCCGGCCCCATTTACAAATGAGACACCACACAATGATGTGAGTTACCCAGGGTCTCGTGACCATGGTGAAAACCTAAATCTTTGACTTATAGCTGAACAAAACTACTTCACCTTTGCATTTCCAGCTTCTTCCTCCCTCATTTGATCTGGGGGAGGGAGGTGAACAGGACAGGTTCAGACCTCTAGGGAGCTTATGTCTCATGGGGAGACATTGATGAAATGACCACAAAAATAATTGCACAGTTATGATCTAGCGTGCACGTTATGGGTCTTTATCCTGAGGTTAATGGGTAGCCATTGGGTGGAAACAACTCTTGTGATAAAATGGAAATGGTCCTAGTGAGCAGGCACATGGCCTGAGTTCTAGGCTCCACTTTGCTGCCTTGATGCTAGTGTTAACTCCTGCTCTTTTCTGAGGTTCTATTTCCTCATCTGCCCAGTGAGGGGAGTGGGTTGGATTGTTTTTTCAGCTGTCATGTGCCATGTTATTGAGACAGAGCAAAAGGTAATGCCTGCAAACTTGCAACCATCACCATCTCCAGTGACACTGGCCCTGAGTTCTTTTGGAGCTTGGTGGTCAAGACCTCTGGGGCTGCATCCTGCTTGGGCTTTTGCTCTGAACTGCAAGGTGGTCCCTGATTTCAAGATAAATGGGGAAGGAAGTTTGTCCTGCCATGCTCGCATAACAGGCTCTGCCTTTCTCTCTTTCTCCATCAGGGTCAGAAGGGAGAGAGTGGAGTTATAGGCCCACCAGGCAAGCCTGGGCCTTCTGGTCAACCAGGCCGCCAGGGTCCCCCAGGTCCCCCTGGACCCTCAGGCCCCCCATCTGCAGGTAAGAGCTATGCTGCTTCACTTGAGCCACAGCATTGCACTGCTGGCCAGCCTTCCCAGAGAGAGTGGGAGGTGATGTCAGCAGAGGTCTGCCTTGTGTTTGGAGTTAGAAACTGCTGGAGGAACTTCAACATATTTATTATATCCCCACAAATTGGCTCATCCAGCTTTTATACAGGAAAGATAAACATCATTCTGGCTTTGTCTGTAGCACTTTGGAGAACAAATAGAGGAGAGAAAACAATTACATCGGTGATGCCATTAGTATGTTAAGTGAAGAATAACAGGCACGTGTTTCATCAACTAACACCTTTTTCTAGAAAACCGTTTCATAGCTCTAAGCACTTCTCTTACACCTGGAAGTAAAGATACCGTTGCAAGTTTTTCTATTTTACACAGTGTCAGGAAAGAGTCCTTATAGATTCACATTGAATGTAGAAAGAAACCATAAAAAAGAAATCAAAGTCATCTAAGAGGGTGTTTTACCTGTGTAATATGATGAGTTAAGCTTTTGACTTAGTGTGTTCTCTTCCCAGCTCCCAGTGAGGCCTTTCAGAGCACACTGTCTGTATAAACACAGCATCTCCAGCTCCGAGAAGACTGTTCACAGACTGTGTGAGATTCTTTGTCCTCAGTTATACAAGGGGGATGAAAAAAATTTTTATTCCAATTTTTTTTCTTAAGAATGAAGGCAAAATTCTACACTGTATTTCCCCCAGTACTTAGGGAAATATATTTGCAACCCCCTCTTGAGATGATCATGAAATATCATATTTTATTAGATCCTTAAAACAAATTAAAGCTGACTCAGACTCCTGTCTGCCAGAATATCAGGAAAATTCGATCTTAGGCATTGCTGGGGTTCTCTCCACTGCTTCAACTGCCACAAAATAATTGGCCAAAGACCTTGGGAATTATGGCAGGAAAACAGCAAAGGAGGTCCCGCTAGCCTTTTGTCTGTCCTATTTATGCCTAAAATGCCTGTTGTCTGAGGCCATGGGGTTGCGGGTACCTGGTAACTACCATCCTCAGGTATTAGAATATTTGCAAGGCTGGGGATCCTGTCAGCATGGTTCAACTTCCCAAGGAGTTCCCCACAACCATTCTTCTGAGACCCTGTCTCTTCTCCAGGATACCAGGGGGTCCTCCTTCTCTCCAGGCCTGGGGGGATCCCTCCTCTTCCAATCTCTAGTCCCCTCTCTCCTCACATTCTTCAAACACCACCACCCGTCTTAGGAGCTTTTCTCTTCTGAGAACAGAAGGCAGAAGTTTTCAAATAGTACCTCTGTTTAGCAAGGACAAAAAAGCATCAACTCTTGCTATCCCCTTGAAATACCGGGAAAACAAACATCAATTACCCTATTTGGCCAGGTATGATGTGCACTCTTTTGCCCAAATTTTTGAAACAAAATAAGGATGTGCATTATTTATGGATATAATGATTACATACCATGAGTATAATACAGAGTATAAGAATTCCATGTATAATGCCCACAAAAGTGTGGGTTCACATTGTACACCACAAAATACGGTGCATGCCAATCAGTTATCTTGTCACACCTATTTCCATTTTGTTAAGGGAGCTAGATTTGAGGTGCGGCCTAGGTCACGTGCCATGCCCCGTAACCTCTTTCCCTGAGTTGACTAAGATGATCCGGATGGGGTCCCTTCCATTTCTTCTTCCTCCTGCGTAGCGTTCCCTCAAGCCCCATGACAATAAGGTGCCAGGGCCTGAGAGCATGGCCCGAAGCCTAGGTTGTGCTTCTGGAAGGGGCTCTCTTGGTCCTTGGGGAACTTAGGGGCTCACAAGGGAACATGATGTGGGGGGGGGGGACAGTGTGTATGCATAAGGAGGTCCTTAGCAAGCTCAGACTTTAATATATGTATCTATTTGTAAAGTCCAGCCCTCATCTGAGTTGAACTTGTTTCTTCCTGGGGCCCGGATCTGGGAGAAGGGCAGGCCGTGGAGACCATCAGCTGCTCACTCAGACCCCACTGCTTTGTCCCGTCAGTCTCTGGTGGACTGCAACCCCATCCCTCTAGTAGGGCTGCTGTAGCCTTGGTTTCTCTCCTTGGTCCCCAGCTCCATCTCACACAGCCAAGTGCGCTCACGTCCCCTTACCCTCTACCACCCTGTTCTTGGCCAGGTCCCAGCCTTGCTGCCCTCTGTCCTCCAGCAGATGCCCTGCTCTCCGCAGACCTGGGGCATATGTCTACAGTCTGTCTGGGCCATGGGCTAAAATGGCATTCCTGTCATCCCCTGGTTCACCCAACAAAACCCTCTCCTTCCTGGGTGTCTAATGAACAGCTCTCCTTTCCCCAGCATCTCAGTCACACTCTGCCTCTCTGCTGTTGCCCCTCCACTGGTGGCTGTTTTCCGCAGATGGGTTTCATCCTCCTTTTACATGGCAAGTCCTTGAGGCCGGGTCTGTGGCTGAGTCGGCTTCATATCCCCATGGCACCTGGCAGGTGGGATGGGTGGGGCTGGCCCCCACCGGCGCTCACGGGGCTACATTGGCCCTCAGTCTGACCCACCTCAGTACTGCGCAGTAGGCATGTAGGCTGCTGGCCATCTCTTTGGACTGATGTCCCCTCCCTGTGCCTTCCTTTGAGTCACTTCCTTTCTGGGAGCCTTCCAGAATGAGGGGGCTGAAGAAAATGGGGCAATAATCCTGCTCTTTGGAAAAGTTTTGGGGGGGTTGGAGGAGAAGGGGAAGGAGAAGTTTAAAAGAGGCTTTCTCTGTGCCAGGAACCAGTTGGATAAACGTCAAGAGATTAACTAGGCCCTCAAAGTGATTCTTGAGAATACCTTTGAGAATCTGATAGAAGCCCCAAACCTACTGTCAGGAAAAAAAAAAAAGGTCTACCCAGGATTTTGCACACTGTTCCCCAGAGTGCCAGAACCGCCGCCACAAACCCATCTTGTGCTGTTCTCAGGCCCTGTGGTCTGCAGGCCACACTTTCCCGGGCTAGTCCAACCCTCCCTTTATGGAGAAGAACTCTGAGCCTCAGAGAGAAGTGCCTTCCCCAAGGTCACAGAGCTGACTGGTGGCCACACCTGGCCCAGAACAAGTCTGTGACTCCTGGGTCTGAGACTTTCCCTCTCAGCCGTGCAGCCCCTGCAGGGGCCCAGTGGGAGCGCAGGGTAATGTGGGGATGATGCTGTGGTTCCTCTGCCTTCTCCCAGACTCTTCTCTCAGCCCCGCCCCCACCGCAGCAGCCAATGGGGACTGGAAGTTCCCTGGGCAGAGGTGGAGAGCAGGGCCCCTGGCTGCAGGGATGGAGGCCAGGCCAGGCCCACTGGACCAGCTCCGAGAGGCCAGAGTGGGGTCATTTGGGTAACTGTGCCCTTCAGTGCAGCCTGGCAGGAAACAGGCAGGGGAAGCAGATGCCCTCTGACAGCTGGGAGGAATCGGCAGGAAAACTGCAGTGGTGGCCGGAAGCCGGCTCCCTGCCACATCCTGTTGTCCGATCAGGAGGCTACCTCTGGCTCTGGTGCCCAGTGCTGTGGGACAGGGTGGCTGTGGGAGGTGGAGACAGTGGCAGCTTTTCATTACCCAAGTCACAGAGGGTGCAGGGGAGGGATAAAGGCAAAATGCCTTTCAGATGCATTGCAATAACCCAATTACAAATTTGGCTGAGTCCTTCCTGCACCCAGACAGGGTATAAGTGAATCAGTGTGGTACCTGGGAATGGCCATCTTTCTTCAAGCATCAGCCTTCTTGGATGTTTGTCTTCTGAATGGCAATGAATTCACAGCTCAGCCTCAGCACCAATTAGCTGGATAATGGGACCAACTCTGGAGTCACAGAGCCTTCTGCAAGGCTGCCCCAATGCCACTCTGACGTCCTTGGTTACAGAGCATTCCCACCTCGGTCTCCCCAGCTGCTTAATTACCAGGACAGTCCTAGGCTGGTGGAGCCTCTGTCTCTCTGGGCTCTGCTCCACAAGACAGGAGCTCTTCCCACAGGTCGACAGTCCTCTTTCTCGTTAGAAAGAACAGCCATGACTTGGTGTAAGATGTTGGCAAGGACCATCTCCCCTCGTGCCGGCAGCATTCTGACCTTGGACATTCCGAGCCTGCACGTGCCGTCTCGGGGTTGGGGTCTTCCCTTTGAGGCCCCCTCCTCCAGTGGCCGCTGCCTCCCTGGCTCCCAGCCAGACCTCCCCCTGGTGGTCATTTTGTTTCGTGCCCTTCTGGGATCTGCAGAGTGGGTCTCCTGTTGCTGGCTGCCCTGTTTGGTTTATAACCTGACATCAGTGCCTGGTTGGTATTCAGACTCCCGCTATTGTCCCAGGATGAAGGGTGCTTATTTCATTTTTTAGTCTCTATCTTTTCCTCTCTTCCCGTTGTTTGGGTGGCTCTTGCTCCAGCACTTTTCTGCTGACTGGAGTGTGACATCTAGATTTTTCTGAAGACCTTTTTTTCTTCCCTTCTTTCTAGTTAGTCTGCATTCACTCACTCATTCATTCAGTCACTCACTCAGTCATCAAACGTGTACCATGCCCCCGCTGTGTGTCAGGCCCTGATAAATGAAAACACATCAGACCTGGCCTTTGGAACTTAGGTTCTGTTGGGGAAGATCAAGTAAACTCAGAATATATAGAATCACGAGCAGAGGTAAGTACCTTGGCGAAAAGGCATGGAGAGCTATGAAATTGTGTCTGAGGCGAGCATGACAGAGTGTGAAAATTCAAAAAGGCCTCCCGGGAAAAGCAAAGTTGGAACACAGGTCAGGAGTGAGCTAAGAGGCACATGGGGAGAGAGGGCTGGAGGGCGAACGGGAGAATGCTCTGGCAGGGGAGTGGCTTGTGCCAAGACCAATCCCCTAGACCAGCAGTTCTTAACCTTGGTGCAGGTTGGGATCATCTTGGGAGTTTGGGGAAGTACAGTTGCCTGGGCTCTGTCCTCAGCAGTCCTGATGGTCTGCGGTGAGGCCTGGGCATCAGGGCCTTTAGAAGTCAAGGTGAGAACTGCTACCCTCGCAGGTCTCCTGCACTGCAGGGAGTAAATTTCCTGATCGTATTTTTTTGGGACACTCTTCTCAGTACCAGGGGAGAGTAAACGAGCTGAGAATATTTGAAACTTCCATTTTCTTCCAGAAGATATCGAAGAAATGCACACTCAGAAATTCCTTTGTAAAGATCCTACACATAAGAACAACATAAAATGAATTAGAAACAATAAAAGTTACCAGTGAGCAACTTGTTTATCTGCGGGCAGTACCCTGTTGATAATGGTCTAAACAGACAGAATTGTTTTTTCAGACAGTAAGGAGAGTCAAGAGGTGGACGGTGGCCTGCTTTAGTTCATCCTCTAAGAGTCAGGACTCCAGTCCCCATGAGCCCCTGGCTTGTCCCTTACGTCGGCTTCTCTTCTTATCCTCGTTACTTCATATGTGCAGTATGGCTGCTGCAGCACCAGCCACCTGGTCTATCTTCGGGACAGGAAGAAAGGGGGGGAAAGCTGTGTCTCCAGCTATGATTCTCCCTCCTCAGGATAAACTTTCCCAGATGCCCACCCTTCTCCTGCCCCAGACCTTGCATTGGCCAACACTGAGGCACATTGTCACCTCCAGATGCAAGGGGATCTGGGAAGTAGACCGCCTATCTGTCTAGGCAGTAACGTGTAAAGAGAGGGAAGGGAGAAGAAGGGTTGGGAAGGTGATGCCACACCCAGCGTGGCTAAGGGACCCACAGAGAACATCACCTCCTCCACATCTTGGATCCAAAGCATCTCACTGAACCTCTCCCCCAGGCCTGCCCTGAAATACTGTGGACTTCAGCCTCCTCTCTGTTGTGAAGGTTGCTCCCATCACCCTGGGCTGTTGGGTTTTTCTTTCTTGGCTCTAGTAACACAGCAGCTTGTTGCTTCCTAGGACAACTTGTCATGGGACCCAAAGGAGAAAGAGGATTTCCCGGGCCTCCAGGAAGATGTCTTTGCGGAACCCCGCTGAATGTGAACAACCCTTCGTACGGGGAATCCATGTATGGGCCCAACTCCCCGAGAGTTCCTGCGGTAAGGTTCTTCTGGGAGAAATCTGGGGCGTTACCCCGAGGGACCTCTCACCTGGTCCCCGTGGGGCTGTGTAATAGCAAAACTTGTGTTTTATGCGTGTATGTATATAGTTGTTCAGTAAAACTTATACTGGGTCCACACCCATAAGAAATTGGAAAATCAGGAAAAACCTAAAGAAGAAAACAAAATATCCATTTGGTTATGAATCCATTTTGGAGGGGTTTTTTTTTTTTTGTCTTTTTAAACAAAAAAATTAAGGAAAGTTTCAAATAAATACAAAAGCAAAACAAACACTGTAATGAACCTCCATGCACCCTTTACCCAAATTCAATAATTATCAATTCATGGTCGATCTTGTTTCCTCTTTATGCCTACTCACTATTGCCCGCCCGGCACTGGATGATTCTGAAGTAGAGCTGGGACATCAGCTCATCATAAACGTCCTTTGAACTGATGCATAACCACCCACCCATCATGCGGCTGTGCTGTGATTTACTGAACCAGTGTCTTATTATCGGATATTTATAGGGTGTGCCCAAGCTTTTCACCAGTGTAAACAACACTGTAATGAACATCTTTGAGTATAAGAATTTTGTTGAGAATCATTTCTAGGTGTTGCATTACTTGCTTAAATGACCTCACCTTTCTTATTTCAGTCTTGGGCACATTTTTTACTTCAAATGGAGACATTAGGAACTGGATTGAAAAGATATGGAGATCGAGACTTTCCTCCCCCTTTAGGAGGAACGCTAGAGTGTAATGTGCAAACCCCCTTCCCACTGTTCACAAGTCCAAGGGCAGCGATTCTGTGTCCTTCAGCTTTCCCCCTGCCCACTGTAGAAGTGTTTTCTCGAAGCCTCGCCATTGTGTTCTCTGGCAGATTTTTGTGGTCAACAACCAGGAGGAGCTTGAGAGGCTGAACACCAGAAATGCCATTGCCTTCCGCAAAGACCAGAGATCTCTGTACTTCAAGGACAGCCTGGGCTGGCTCCCCATCCAGGTAACACAAGGCAGGCTCGCAGGGCATTCCCCACTGAGGAGAGGGGCTCATCACTAAAGGTCGGGAAGGCCGACAGTCAGGCCCGGTGCAGAGTTGTGGCTGTCTTTTCACATGCAAGGGCTGAGCGGCCTTCGCTGTGTTTCTGAGCGGCTGTCCATGCCTCTCCTCCCCAGACAGAACCTTCTTTCTGAGCCAAGGTCCCAGATGTTCTCACATCCCGCACTGCCAGGTCACTGACTTGACTCGGCCCAGCCTCCTACCACTACAGAGCTCTGGGCGACAGAAGAGGAGGGCTTTCCCCACCCAGGGGTGGGGGCTGCTCCTCAGCAACACCCGCTGGATCCAGAGGCTCTGTCTTCAGTGCCAATGACCTGCCCTGCCTGCAGCTGCCCAGCGTGCTGCCCCTGGTAACTGTGGTGTGTTTCTTTGGCCAGCTGACCCCTTTCTACCCTGTGGACTACACTGTAGACCAGCGAGGCTCCTGTGGGGATGGGGTCCTGCAGCCCGGGGAGGAGTGTGACGACGGGAACAATGATGCCGGTGACGACTGCATCAGTGAGTGGGGCCCAGCCTGAAGCTTGGATCGCCATCAGAGTGGGGGTCAGGGCAAGCCCTGGACACCAGCTGTGGTGGTTTGGGACAGTTCTAGAGCCAGAGGGGTGTCCCTGAGCTGTTGTGGAGGTGATCTACCTCAGGGAGTCCACATGTTAACTCCTCCATTATCCAGGCCTGTCATCGAGGGTCAAGGATCAAGGATCATGCCCCCAGAGAAGCCACCAGGTCCCTCCTTTTTTCTTAGCCGACTTCTTGGCAAAATCCAAATTCTAGTCCACATTCTTTGTCAAAGGATAAGGGTGATACAGGAGTGAAAAGGCAAAGGGAGGGAGCCAAGCATTTGAATCAAGACTCACTTTCACCAGATAGAACCCTGGGTAACAGAGCCCTTTTTATGCAAAGTGGGCTGGGCAGGCTTGTGGGATGCTACCAGGAGGAGCAGGCAACCAGCATGGGGCCGGAGGGTTTGCTTTACGGCTTATTTATTTATTTTTTAATCCAGCGACAAAAGCAGGCGGTGGGGTGGAAAGCATGGGCTTTAGACTCAGGGCAGAGTTTGAATGCAGGCGCTGAGAGCCACCAGCTCACCTCAGCTCCCTGAGAAGCCACTCGGGGAGTGAGGTGATGGGCAGGTCATGGCTCCGAGCCTCACTTTTCTCGACTGACAAATGGGCTGACAAATGAGGGTGTTGGTACTGACTGCTTGAGTCTTCAGAAAGGTGAGCCCATGTGTGCGTGGACGGTCTGAGGGCAGTGGGGGTCCACATCTCTTCGATGGATTATTTTTAAGCCCCTGCTGTGAGAAGCCAGGCTCCGCTCAGGGCTGGGCACGTGCAGATGCGAAGTCTGGTACTTGCCTGTGGGAAGCTCAGATGAGGGCTGACGGTGCCCTGAGGATGGTGTGCTCAGTGGTGGTTGTGGGGCTGAGAAGCTGCTTTCTCAGTTTGCTTGCTCTCTGTGCAGATGTACCTGTGACCGTTCCTGGGAGGGCAATCCCCAGGATGCTAGCCTTGCCCAGAGTCCCTTCTGCCCCTGCTGCAGACACCGGCCCATAGATCACACAGCAGGAAGGAATTAACAAGACCTCAAAGCCCTGAGACAATGAGGGTGGGGTCCATATTCCAAGGCTCTCCCCTTGTGTGAGAACAGAGACCCTATTGAAGAGCTTCTGGCTCCCCAGGGACACAGGGTCACCCACCTGGGGAGCTTTCTGTAACAGACAAGACCCACCACAGCTTGTCACCGATGCTCAGTCTCCTGGCCTTCACCTTATGGGAACGCACAGTGTTCCTGTGAGGGGGAGCTGGTGCCTATGCCCCAGATTTGAGTAAGGACATCGAGGTCCCAAGATGCCAAGGGGCTGCTCTCAGTCTCTCAGCTAACAAGTGGTGGGACTGGGCTGGAGCCTGGGTCTCCTTGTTCTGCAGGGTGGGACTTGGGGGACTCCTTATTCTGCAGGGTGGGACTTGGGGGTCTCCTTATTCTGCAGTGTGGGACTTGAGGGTCTCCTTGTTCTCCAGTGTGGGACCTGGAGGCCGGGGGGGCAGTCTCTGGATGAGTCTGAAGCTACACAGAGGTCCACTCAAGAGGGGCGTGCTCTGAGTGGATCCTTGAGGTTGCACTTTTGCCAGGGAGACCCCTGGTGGTGAAGAGCTTTTCAGTGAGTGGGGCCCAGCCCTGGCTGGGGTCCCTACCCACATCTCCGCCCCTCCTCATGGCTGCATTTCCTTGTGTCCTCTCAGGCTGCCACCGGGCATACTGTGGAGACGGTCACCGGCACAAGGGTGTGGAAGACTGTGACGGCTCTGACTTTGGCCACCTGACGTGCGAGACCTATCTCCCTGGGTAGGGACGGCCTTGCGTGCCATTGTGACACCCCTCCTTCCCCGCCTCCGCCTCCCCCCTCCCTTCTCTCCTTTCCTTCACAAAGAACTCTGACTGCATCTTAGGCTCCTGGTACCTTCTAGACACCGAGGTATGGCAACAAATAACATGATGCCTGGCTCCCGCTCACCCGCAGGAGACAGGCAGTAAACCCATAACTGCCACGTGGGAGCAGACACAGCCCCAGCTCCGTCCTGGGCCGCTGGGAGCAGCCGTCTTTAAGCTCGGCTGCTGCCCCTGTGTGGTCAGCTCCCATTCGCAGGGGCCACCGTGGCCACATTGGTCTTCGGGGCTATGGGCCTGGGAGGGAAGCCCAGTGGACAGTGGAGGTATCCGGGCATTTCAGAGACTGTAAGCATCTGTGTAACCTGAATTCTCTGGAACCAGCCCCCATGCTCGGGCAGGCCCGTGGATGCAAGTGAGACCACAGCAGCACTAATATCTATTTTTATCTATTTTTGCTGGCTTGTGGCTCCTTCAAGAAAACCCCAGGAACTTGGCGTTCTTTTCAAGGACCCCTCTAATTATTTCTGAGACTCTTCGGTGTGGCCTTACGTTGCTCAGGATGAGTGTTCTCGTGTTCTGGCCTCCACATGGACGTCTCCCAAGCCAGCTGAGGGCTGCTGGCCCGTGAGGCACTGATTCCATGCCCAGATTGTGGCCTCCTGGGTCCTTCAAGGTGTAAAATGGTGCCACGTTCCCCTAACCCTCACAGAACCAGGGTGCCAGTGCTCCAGGGAAAATGTGCAGGCTGTTCCCCCTCCAGTCCAAGCCCTGTACCTCCCTCCGCTCCAGTGCAGATCACTGGCCCCTCCCCCTCCTAAGTCTCTCAGGAGTCCAGTCTCTTCAGCCCTTGCTCGTCTGTTAAGCTTGGCCCCAGGCTCTCAGCAGAGCTGGGGAACAGATGGCAGGCCTGTCTCTCTATCGCCCCCTCTCTGCAATCTCTTCAAAGGGGTCTTTTCAAGGCCTACCCCCCCAAACACATATCAACATACCAGACCATGCTGGGGGAACTGTAGACCTGCAGTCACCAGTCTTCCACTGCCTCTGGGTTTGTACGCACTGTCCCCTCCTTAGGTAAGGGGACATCTGCCAGAAAGTTGGCGGGAGGTCTGAGCTGGTTGGTGGTTCCATGGAGATGAGTGCAGACAATCGCTCCTGGGGTCCAGGACTACATGGAGCCCAGGGCTTGCCCACGGGCTCACTGCGGTTACTCTCCTAACCCCTGGGAGCCTTGGGGGACGCTTGTGAACGTGGGCACAACGTGTCACACGCTGTGTCAGGATTAGTACTCAGGCTTGCAGAAGTGGGGGCCGCACTGTCCAATATGGGAACCTCTGGCCACCTGTGGCTATTTAAATTTAAGTTAATTAAAATTAAAGAAAATTTAAAATCCAGTCCTTCAGTCGCACTACCCTTATTTCAAGAGCTCAGTAGCCACTGAGGGCCCGTGGCTGCCACATTGGGCTGCACAGCAATAGAACATTTGCCTCAGTGCAGTGCAGTGGACGGAGCTGGAGGTGTCCGAGGCCTTGAGAGGCGGAGGGTCTCTCAGAGATGCTGTGTTAAGATCAAGGCTACCAACCCCTTCCTCCCAGGTCCCTCAGCTGGGCTCAAGGGGGAAAGCCCCAGAGGCCTGGACTCAGCTCCCCCCAAATCCCTCACCTCAAATGAGCATGACAACAGTCTCTACAGACTCCTTGGCAGCAGTGGCTGCTGTTTGATGATGTTTGACCAAAAGCCACTAGAGTTGACCTTTAGAATGTGGCTCTTTCCTGTGGGCTGGTGGGAGCTCTCCTGCCCACCAGCCTGTGTCTGCCCTGACCTGTGTCTGCCTCCCCAGGTCATACGGGGACCTGCAGTGCACCCCCTACTGCTACATCGACTCCACACCCTGCCGCTACTTCACCTGAGGATACCAGGAGGTGGGCTGCATCGCACGCACCTGCAGCAGCTTCTCCACCCTCACTAAACTGACCTAGCACCTGCCTGGTCCAGTGTCACCACCTTCATCCGACGAAAACAAGGACAAACTCTTGCTGCTAAGACATGCTTTTAACTCAGTCCGACTGGAAGACCTCAAGACCACTGCATCCTGTCTTAATCCAAAGTACTGGAAAACTTCCCCCATGCCCAGCCTGGGGCCTGTGACCCATCGCTCCCGTCAGGCCAGTAGCCGACCCTCAGGGCCTGCTGTCCTCCCCAGGCCGAGAACTGGCTTAGCCCTGTCAGATATGCGTGGAACTGAGGGCCATTTGTTCTCATCCCATCGGGGCATCCGGGGTGTCTGGGGCCCGGGCCTCTCCACCCCTCTGACCTCTGGAAACGCCGGCATTCTCGCCAGGGCATCCAGCCACCGGGTCTCTCCATGCCCGTGAACCACACAGCTGGGAAGGGGGCCTGTTGTCTCAGCATGGCTCTGGACCCATCGAGGGACCCCTCAACTAGCCACAGCGCAGTCTAGCCTTGTGGGCACGGGTTCCCCAGCAATAGGCCCACTCGTGAAAAAGTGCTGAGAAAGCCGCCGAACCTACGCTCAGGCCCGGGGGTGGGCTGAGGTACAGCCGGCATGCCTGCCCTGCTGGCAGCAGTGGGGCCGCAGCTCCCATTCTTTGAGTTTCTCAAAGGGTGACACTCGTGGTTTTGCCACACTGGGCTCCAGTTTGACCTCGTGGCTCTCTGTGGTTTGACCTCCATCTCACGAATGCCCCTAGTGTCAGTTTCTGATTCAGGAGATTCGCTAGCAGAGGGTGACCTGGGTCCACGCCCCAGCAGGGCGAAGGAGGACCCTGCCCTGGGTGTCCCATCCGGGACCCGCCATCCTAGACAGAGACAGTTTCTGTTCTGAGCTCCAGCTCCCGGCTGCCTGCCAATTCCTGTGAGCACCCTGTGACCCCCACGTCACTGTAGTGCGTAGCTGGTCCTCGTGTCTGTGTGTCCGAGCCCCCCCACCCCACATGTCTACAGGGTCATCATGTCTGTGAGCTGCCTTTCATCACAGCCTCTCCTGAAGGGGCCTCAGCTTTGTTTTGGAAAGACATCTCCCCAACAGCGACCTCCAATAGGATTTTCCCATTTGTTACCAGAGGCAGGACACTCCTGGGCTTTTGTACAAAGCTGTTTAATGTGGCTAAGTCTTGGGGACTTAGGGGCCATCGTGCTGTAGTAGATGGGGTCAGCCTGAGGGTGCTGTCATCAGAGGTGGGCACATTGGTCAGCCTGGCTTCCTCAGCCTCCACTGCAAGTCGGGGGGCAATGCTGCTCCCACGTAAAGCCACCACCTTCGTGCTGGGATCTCCGGTACGAGGTCCAGAAATAAAGGCAGTTTTTCCCCTACTGTGGCTCTGTCTTCCCTGGGGGTTTGGAATCACTGTCCAGCATTGCTGGATGGTATGAGAGGTCTGAATTTAAGTCTTCTTTCTAGACTCTGCAGAGGGTTCTAGAATTTGGGAGCAGTCCTGCTCCCTCGGGGACAAAGGAGGAAGCTGACAACCAGATGTCACAAAGCCTTCCAGTACTGCCTCGGGCCAGGTGGAGAGGATCCCGACCTGGCCTCATACCTTGGAGGGCGGGCACCAAACTGTTTATCTTACCTAATTTGCTTAACTTCTCAGAGTGTCTGTTTTCTCATTAATACCTTATTTCAGGGTTGTGTTGAATTTTAGTGATCATAGGGATAGAACTTCTGACACCTAGAAATGTTTAGGAAGTGCTGGGTTTTCCATCATTGTTATTCAGTGGCTCAGGAGTACCAGGCCCCTCTGTGGGAACTGGAGCCTATTTATTTTCCCCCTTGAAGCTGGTTACATAAGTTCATTTCTGGCAACAGTTGGCAGCCCAGCCTTCACTGTGAAGCAGTGGGGCAAGGCGGTGGTTCTGCAGCCCGGCTGCACTGCAGCCCACCCGATAACTACCACCCGGGATGAACCCGCAGACCACCAACGTTAGGTTCACTGACTTACAGTAGGCAGATCCGACACCGGAGGAGCAACGGGGCCCTTCCCAAGCCAAGAAAGACAAGATTTCTATAGGATTTGGGGAGGGTTGGGGTGTACATCGGGTGTAAATGAGCAGTGCTTGGACAGGCACAAAACAACGCAGGCTGTGTGTAAAGGAGTCAACTTCAAGCCTGGCCTGGGAAGTGGACCCAGGTCCTGATTCACTAACAAAAAACCCATAAAGTTAAAAGCATGGGATGTTCTGCCTGAAAACCCCTATCAGAAATCCTGCACTGAGACAGGAATTTAAAACTGCTTCTGCGTCAGAGTGACTCACGCAGCTCCCATGAGCCCTCCAGGCTCGGGTGGGACGGCCCGTTCTTACCCAACAGGCTTGCACGCTGCAAAGTTTTGACAGCCCAGATTCTAGTCACAAAGTCTCGCAGAGATTTCTGTTCTGGTGGCAGGAGTAACAACGGGAGGTTGGGGATGTCATCGGGAAGAAAGCAGTGGTCATCCAAAGGTAGGAGGAGTGACTGACACTTCCGAGCTGCTGCAGTGACCTTGGGAGAAAGGCGGCTTCTTGTGCGCTTTGCAGCAGGCTTTGCAGCATCTGCACTGTAGCCTGAGGAGTGCAGGGCGCAGGCAGATGCGGATGCCCTCAGTCTGCGCTGGTTTATCTCTGCGCCTTCACCAGTCACAGAGGCACCAGCTCTGCTCTCCTGACCCCAAGGCCTGCCTATGTCTGGGATCCTCTAGGCCAGTCCAGACAGTCCTACCGTAATCAGGGAAGTGTGGGGAGGGGCTTGGGCCCAGGGCTCTTCTCTACCCCACAGCAAAGCTGTTCGAGTGTCAGGTTTGTAGGCCTAGTGAGGTCTCGGAAGGAAGCTTGGTAACTAGTACTTGGAAAGCAGTGCTTGGGAAAACGGTAGTTGCTGAGCATCTTGGGACAGACACATTGTTCACCCGTCACTCTAATAGGGGCAAGGAGGGCCCATGTGGGGCAAATTGCTTAAGAATCTTCCAATGCCATTATGATTAAGGGTCACACTATGGCCCCGTGACTGTTACACGAGTTGTCTGCCCCATCCTTCCCCCTATGGTGAGTGAACCAACTTAAATTGTGAGCGAAACTCAGATCTCCCATTTGTGACATTATGATGAACCCAAGGACCTTGGTGATTCACTGAGGGGACTGTTCACATGAACAACGCCCACTGTAGGCACTGGAAGCTCCAGGGGGGGTCTTTATTCTCCCTCGTCTTCACACATAGCCATCTGAGAGGGCTGTAAATCACACAAGAGTAATGGGTTAAAGGCTCCCGCCCCACCTCAGCCAACCCCCATGAGAAATGGAGGAAAATAACTCACATTGCCTAAATCAGAAGGGGCTTTTTCTCTGGGGATTCACCTGAGTTCTTTTCAGCCCCAGACAGCTGACTTGTAGAGTCAGACAAGACAACCTTACTAAAGGGAGAAATTGGCTATTTCCTCTGCCCTCTGTACTTTAGAGGAATGAAAAGGGTCCCGGGACTGTAACACTGAAATTCTGCAGAAACACTAGTATCTCAAGTGAATTTCATTTGTGGTTATTTGGGTCCCTGTAGTTTCTTCAAGGTCAATGATAAATTTTGTCTGTGATGTTCTGAACCACGAACCACACTCTGCTAGGTGCGCTGCCCCCAGGTCACGCTCCGTCCCAGCCCTAGATGGGAAGTTGAAGGCAGGCATCGTGGCCATGGGGCATCACTTGAAGCTCACCAAAGGATTTTTGTCCCGAAGCAGTGGTTCTCAATTAAGGCTCATCGGAGTGACCTGGAGGACTTATTAAAACTTGTTCGAGGGGTGTCAAACTCATTTTCTCTGGGGGCCACATCAGCCTCATGCTTGCCTTCAAAGGGCTGAATGTGATTTTAGGACTGTACAAATGTAACTACTCCTCAACTAGGGGCAAGGAGCTCAGCACTGCTGTTGGGTAGAAACAAGGTGCCGGGCTGGATAAAACAAGGTGGAGGCCTGGATTCGGCCCTCGGGCCTTGTCTGCCACCTGTGCCCTAGAGTTTCTGATTCAGCAGGTCTGGGTGGGGCCTGAGAATCTGGACTCCTCACAAGGTCCCAGGGGATGATGGTGGGCCAGGGACCACATTCTGAGAGCCACCGCTCCAGGCACATGGCTCATCTGAGAACAATTGCAGAAGACTAGACCAAACACACAGGGAGGAAAGGTGGGCACTTTGGGTGGGTGGCTTTTTAGTACGCTTCCATTGAATGGGTGGGGTCTGTGTCCCCTCCTCTGGAACCTAGGTGGGTTTCTGACTGCTTTGATATCTAGAATACTGCGGAGGTGGTGCTGTGTGACTTCCCAGGCTAGGTCATAAAAGGCCGTACAGCTAGCTTCTCAGAACACTCATTCTGGGGGAAGGCAGCCACCAAGCCCACTCTCCAGAGACCCCCATGCTATAGAGGCCACGTAAGCCCTTTGGCTGATGGTCCCAAATGAGCCTGCTTCCAGTCATCCCCACCGTGGTGCCAGACATGTGAGTGACGCCAGCCTGGACTCTCTAGGCCTGCCCATCTGCCAGCTGAGTACCACTGAGTGACCTCAGTTGAAGCCAAAAAGAGCAGAATTTCCCAGCCAAGTTCTGTCCTAATTACTCACCAACAGATTCCATGAGATAAAATGGTGATTATTTTCAGTTACTAAGTTTTGGGGTAGTTTGTTACTTAGCAATAGAGAGCCTGAATAGTGTTTTAGGTTAGAACGGGGAGGAGGCAATGAATAAAGACGGAAGTGCAAGCCTACTGAAGCCACTGGCTTGGGTTTGGTGCCCTCTGCAGGAGCTGTGAATAGAAAGGTCTTAACTCCCACTGGGACTTTTATTTGGTGAGAAAAGCCAGAGCTAGGAGGGGCCTCCTCAGTGACTGTATGGCCCAGGGTTCTCAACCGCGCGGTGGAGACAGGGGGCAGATAGAAGTAGGTTGGCTGCAGTAATTTCCCCAAGTTTCTTACCTCCCTGTATCCATATGTTCCCAGTGTACTTTGCGATTCCTCCCACCCCTTGATTCTGAACTTGGCCCTGTGACTCACTTTGGCCAATGACACGTTAGCAATTGTGACAGAGGCACTTGTTTCCTCTCTCACTCCAGCACCTCTGTCTTTGCCATGACAACATGCTCAGGCTAGGCTGCTAGAGGATAAGACACACAGAGCCGACCTGCCTGAGTTCCCGTTGTTGGGCCACGGCCATCCCAGGTAAGCTGAACCTGTTGACTGCCAGGCCCAGGAAGAAGTCAAGACCAGAACTGTCCAGCCACGCCTTGTCTAAATGGCCAATCCAGACTTGTGAGCAAAATAAATGCTTATTATTTTAAGCCACTGAGTTTTGGGATGGCTTGTCACATGTCACTCTAGTGGACAATCAACTGAGCATCCAGTGCGTAGGTGATGAGTGTGCCTCGCCACTTGCCCACTGAGACCTGGTCCGGGTCTTGATCCTATTTCCACCCATCACAGGATGAGCAGCAGAGGATTCCCGGGATAGATCTCCTGATGTGTAATTGTATTCAATCCAGATTTGGTGAGCATCTACTAGGTGAAAGATACCACGGTTAAAGAGGAATACGGTAACGGTGCACCCAGGAGTTCAGAGTCTTTCAGGGCAGCCAGCCCACGAGACGGATGTGGGCAGTGCCGGCCAGAGGAGTGGGATGGAAGCAGGAGGGGGGTCACTTCCGGCTGTCATGTGCCCACTGTGGGTCGGGGGGTGCATGTGGTACTGCATTCCAGGTGAAGGGGTTTGGGGAGCTAAAAGGATTAGGTATGTCTAGGGATTCAGTTTGACCCTTGCATTTTTCTCAAACCCAGAGCCAAGCCCGCCTTTCCAGACCCAGTGAAACAGCCTCAGATGCCATGCGGCTTGTGCAAGTCATCCTTTAGTTTCGAGCTTCCAGACTTTGAAACTGAGATGCATGTCCTAATTAGCACAGTACCAAACTGAGGAATTTAGATAGTCAGGGTTAAGCACCAAAGATTCTTAAAGGACTCCTACATTTTTCATGAGTTCTAGTAAGAAAATAAAACCCACCAAGACAGAAGTGTATTGCTGACCTTCATTTTTACTTAAATATAGTGCTCTTTTAAGAGGGTAAACCAAAAAAAACTTTACACAGCAAATATCTTACATAAATGTAAACATGCACATCTACTTCATAATTAAGCAAAATAAACTTTTAAAATCATTTAAAAATCATTGAAGAATGAGACAATGAACCCAAGACAGAAATAACAGGAACAACAAAAACACACATTTCATAAATCTCCGATTGGTCTTTCTTCCAATGTACTAGTTAAGGCCTGAGTTTCAGAAATCCTACCTTCCTTGCCAAATGGAAACATCCATTTGGCTGTACCTATTACATATCCACATATCATAGTATTACTCTTTCAAATTAACGTAATAAATACATCACACATACGCACACCCACACATTTCCTACTTAACCAGCCTCTCAAAGAGGGAAGTAAGGATTTCGGAATTTTCAAGTTTCCCCCCTACTGAAGCACATACATAGTAATACCACATGTAGAAAAAATGATCCTGCTACAGAAATAAAATAGTTAATGAGTGGCATCATTATACATCTCTGGTTTGTTCATGTTGAGTTTTCCCAAATCATGTCTTTACTGTGGCTTGCCATGGCTCCTCAGGTAGCTGAGGCTGAAGTCTTCACACCTTGCCTACTGACCCCAGTGTGGTAGACACACAGAACAAAGAAAAGGTCATTTTAACAACTGAGTCAGGAAACTTCAAAGTAACTAAAGTCAACATCAATAGTTTTCAGCTATCTCCAAATGCCTGGAATGTTTTCTCTATGTCTACCCCCTCTACTCCACGGGCTGGTTCTCTCTGCTTCCCCCCCACCAGCTACAAGCGTCCGCCTGTCTATGCCTGTGGACATCCCAGGGGGGAGAGGCGAGGATAAGTCTCAGCTTTAAGGAGTTCATACAATCAGAGCCCAAGCAAGGAGTAGCTGGTACACAGCACACTGCAGCCGGCCGAAGAGAACTGAGGACGAGCCTGACAGTGGGCCCTGCAGGAGACGGCGCCTCGGGGGTGAGGTCTGGCGGGCAGAGGAGGAGAGACTGAGAAGGCACAGAGGCAGGAAGAGCAAGGCCTGTTTGGCTGGCGTGAGTGTACTTGTGAGCAGTAGTCTGTAAGGCCAAATTCTCTATTTCTGAAAAGATTCCTCACTCCGGTGGGTAAAGCTGGGGCATGCAGGGGAGAGAACCACTGAATCTTTGTGTAAAGAGCCAAACTGGAGCCGCGCCAGAGGACACCGTGGAGGGTGGGGAGGACAGGTGGCAGGAGAGTCTGAGGTTGAGACAGCTTTAGTCGCCAAACCCAGGGCTACACACAAGCATTTCCTATAGAAACAAACCCCGTTACCTGACATGCCCAAACCACAGTTCTCTGTGTATGTGAAGACTTTGGGAGAAAAACAAAGAGGCTTAAATAGAGTTTTAGTTCAAGTTCCTGAAACCTGCTTGTACTTGAGCAAGTTAAGAGCAGTGAAACATTCCTACATCCAGTAACAATGCATGTCTCCCAGTCATGACCTTCACCCTCCCTGAGCTGTTATTACTAAGGAATTATAAAGCAATGATCAATTATCAGTAAGTTCCCACGTGCCACTAAACCCACTGACACCTCGTGCTGGGCTGAGCGCCCAGCACAGGGTTCGAGTGCGTACCCACTACCCACACGTGGCAGAGTGGTGCACGCGTGCTGCTGGACAATGGCTGCTGGTCCCCATCTCCAGCTCCTGGGGTCGCTATGCAGTTAACACAGGTGACTCTGTAAGACTCAACTCTAACCAAAGCGCCACCTTGGATCATCTACTTCCCTTCCAGGTCCAGACTGCGTCCCTTCGCTAGCTGAGGAAGGTGAGGCAATATGAGTATAGGGACCCCTGGAAGGAAAATCATACTTAATGTTCCTGATATCCACTAACTAAAGTAGATGGAAATTTCTCAGGACATACTCAAATTAGAGAGATGGGACAACTGATCACAAACTAATTATGGGACATTCTAACTTACCCACAAACTAATTATGGGGCAGTTACTCAATATGAAACATTTACTGGTGACCAGTTTCCTGGAACAACAGATTCATTTGGAAACTGCACACTGCAGAAGGCAATCTTGTGACTTTCTTCTAACTTTATATAAAACCACAAATCAGTCTGGGAGTCAGGCACAAACAGTGGTACAAAAGCATCGACATAAAGATCTTATCAAAAGAATGTGCTCATTTCCTATTGCAGAACTCCTATTTATATTCTGGTTTTTGAAAACCTGCTGCTGGTTCATTTGTTTAGAAAGGTCTCTTCACTGCACGTCTCTTCCCCTCCTGCCTCCCCTCCTAACACCCCTGAAGGAGGGACACTTAGCGTGGATCCACGTGGAACTGACAGCCCCAGGTTCAGGGAGCTGTGTGTCAGCAGTGGTTTGTCCTGCTACACCGGCCTCGTGTATTCCAGGACTGTCTGGATCTGATTCTGAGCTACAAGGACTCGACACGCTTATCTTTAAGATAAGTTCCTATGCTCATCTGTCAATAAAAGTTCCTATGGACATCTGTCGGTCTCATGCGTAAGAACCTCTGGTTCCAGTGAGATTTGAGAAAGGGAGCAGTGGGAAAAGCCTGGACTGGGCACAGGAGGCTAAACCAGCTGTGTGCTTCCCTTTCCTTGTCTGTCAACGACGGGTTGAACTCCCAGGGCTCCAGGGTCCTGCCAGCTGACACCTGAGGACCCCCCTTGAAGTCTGTTTCTATACAGGCTTGTCAGGCTGGGTCAGACAGAACTTCCTTACCACTTCGTTTCCACAATTTAAAGTGGTTTTAACTTACTTCTATGCTACAGTTTGAGGCTTCCCCCCTCTCCTGCCCCTCAAAGACTGTCTCTCATTTCACTGGTGCAGACCACTTGGTCAGCCTGGGGTGTACAATGGAATCACTGGCCTGGTGAAGATACGGCCTTTGAGTACCCAGACCAGGGCACATCTGTCTGTTTTCTCATTAACAGTGTTAACCAAACAGAAAGATAATTCTGTTAGTTCTTCTATAGATCTACTTAAACTTTGAAACATGAGATTGTTCAAAAATTACATGAAAAAAATCACCCATCACCACTAAATTAAAGACTTGAATATCTGAGAGTCGCAGAGCCTCAAATTCCTACTACAGTCACTGATCCACGACATTTTCCTCTTGGCAACGGATTCCACGCAAAGCAGCCTGGTCTCGCAGCAGGCCTGTGCACCAAAGAGCTGATTTCGAAAGACCCAGCTCTAGTCATCGCTGTCGCTCCCAGATTCACTCAACTGCAAGTCATTTCCTATTAAAAAAACATAAAACCCACAAATAATTAAACCAAAAGCACACAATTTAAAAACAACTTTCCCGCAATTCTTTGGCTGACTGCCTTGGCTGTCACTGCAGGCAAGCCGGGCCAATCCAATTTAGCAGCAGAGAAGATCAATTTGGCTCAGTGACAAAACCGGCCCGGTCACTGTTTGGAAAGAAATACTATTTTGATATCTGCAAAATAATGCTGCTCACTGGGTAAACCAGGGGAGAAGTAGTCTAGATAGCTGTTAACTGTGTTAGTAAAATAAAAAACAAACAAGAAATGTGTTATTAACAAATCATAAAAAAATAGAGGGACAGGCAAAACTAGATTTACAGTTGTGAGTATGTGAAAGAGTTTATCCTGGTATTACAATGTATTAATCACTGTATTTTCCATGCAAACAACTGTAACGCAGGATTTCACCAAAGTAAACTTCTGTTATTTCCAGATTGCTAATCTCTAAACTAGCTCTTCTCAAAGTTTACCCTGAGGACCCTGGGGTCCCTCTCCGGAGGGTCCAACCCCGAAGTACTTCCTTTTCTAACCACATACCCGTGCGATGCCAGACTTCCTCCATGCACTTCAACCTGAACAACTAACGGCAATGGGCTGAGTGCAGAAAGCACATGTAAGGATCCTCTTTCCCCTGAGCCAAACATTAAAGAGATTTACACAATTTAAAGCAATGTTACTCTTCTTACTAAATATTTCTTGATTTGGGAAACCTATTTTTCACAACTTTATTTTTGTTAAAATGTGATGAGTTTTAAAAATGAATTACAGTATCTTAAATATTTTTACACCAGGGTTTAACAAATTTGTGGTACTCAGTATGACTTTAGGATTTATAAGTGGGTTCTGACTGATGATACTGGTTTAAGTAACTCTAACACTTTATTGTGCATAACCTCATGCACAGATTAAGGTCTTGCCATGTGAGAGCTGCGGGACAGAAGGACCTGGAGACATAAAGAGCTACAAGGAGTTTAAGGCGCTGGTGGGTAGTGCCACAGTGACGCCCACTGTATCACTTTTTGCTCCTTTGTTCTAAGGGAAGATTAATTTAGCATTGACTGGGCAAGATGAAGAACTAAGTTAAAGCCATGGTAGCCTTCTGATACTATTCCCCTATGAATATCAAACACCCAATGTGAAACTTACAATCCCTAGCCAATGGAGAACAGCACCAAAGCATAGCCTGATATCCAGAATCTGGGCCCATATAATGGAACAGCAGACAATCTCCTTAACTGATATCATAACAGTGCTGAACTTACTCAGGTGGAAAAAGTGTAGTGGTTCTCCAGTGGGGATGATTTTGCACCCCACCCGCCCAAGGGCAAAGTGTCCTGAAACGTTTTTGGTTGACACAACTAGGGGAGAAGAGGAAGTGCTTCTGGAATTTGGTGGGCCAGAGGCCAGGGATAATGCACAGGACACCCACCACAGCAAAAATTTACCTGGTGCAAAATGCCTACAGTGCTGAGGTTGAGAATTAGCTCTGCCTAGTCCACAGCGGTAGGGTTCACTAGGTTAGCTTTTCCACTATTGCCTCCAGACTTTCCGACCTCCTCAAAGAAAGTTGTACCAGGGGAGAGCACTCATAAGGATTCTGGAGAGAGAAAAATGCAGAGCACTCTCCCCACCTCTAAAACAAAGGGATCTGTTATCGCTCTCCTGTTTTACTTTACTATTGACTGCACTGAAAGCCAGCCAGACATTACAATGTGTTTTCCTTTCCCTGTTGCCAAAGGCTGGCTTGTCTCCAAATATATCCAACAGCACAGTCTGGAGACCCAGGGTTCTTGGTACTGTAGAAAGACCTGGAGCGGGAACACTATGTGGCAGACGGCACCCCTGAAGGGTGATATTTGCAAAAATAAAGAGTCTAGCTGTTCATATTTCAGCATTTTCCAGAATTCATAAAACCTAATTTGTGCCAGTGAGGAAAGGAGAAAAATAGATTTTTCAGTTGCATGCTTCCTTTTTTAACTGTTTGATAATTTCTTTCTTTCTGCTTAAAATTATCTTTGTCAGGATCCTTTCTTATGCTTTAAATGCCTTCAGGTTTATAAATTCTCATCTAAGATAAACAGAAGCTGCATCTCTGGCCTGACATGCCACCCCTCCCAGCCAGAGAAGGGACAGCGCACTTACTGAGGGTGTTCATGAGCTGGTTGCTTCCCTGCGGCCGGCTGGTTCCATTGGCCATGGCTGGCCTGCTGCCGTAGGGCTGCTGGTGTGACGGTTGTGGAGGAGACGCAGGGCCGTTGTCCTCACCGCCGCTGCTGGAGCTGTCGTCCTCGCTGCCTGAGGAGCTCTCCGAGTCGGAGGAGCTGCTCCCACTGCTGCTGCTCATCTGTTCAATGATGTCGACTTCAGCCCTCAGCTCTGGAATACAACGGCATGACAGGGGTCAGCACAGCAAACACCAAATAAGAGAAGAGCAATATTATGCTAAGGGATTGAAAATATCTGACTAGGGATTAGAAGGTCTGAATGCTCGTTCTGGATCTACCTCTAACCAGCAGGGAGACCCAAGTGGAAGTCAACGAATTTTCCAAGACACCCTGGAAAAATAAAAGGCCAGGCACACAGCGTCGGGGTGCTTTCCAGTTTTCATGCCCCACAAACACGTGGAAGCTTGCAGGAGGAGCCACGATGTCTGAAGAAATGTGGTGGAACAACACTCCTCCTCTGCCCTCTTTTTGTATCTGACCGCCAGGCACAACTGCCAGGTACCGCATTTCTTACGATGCAAGGCAGGGAAGGAAGAACATGCTTTAACCATGGGTTTCAATGTCACTGACTACAGTAAGGCTACGTAACAGATTTTCCTGTCCAAACACACCACGTGGCCTTAAACTATGGCTCCTGTAAGCATAATGGAACAACTAACCACTCATGGCACAATTCCTGTTCAAGTAGAATGAAAACTTCCATAAATGGCATTCCAATATCCACGAGGGGAAAAAAAACTGAGTGGCTTAACAACTGTGCACTATGCAAAGAGCACTCCTATAAGGTAGAAAAGGAAAACTCCCAAAGGACAGCTCTTTATCTTTCCCTGTTGACTACTGCTATCGATTTAACTTTTTTCATCAAGTTTTACAAATATGAAGCATAACACTTACCCTCACAACTTCCTAAGGGTCTGGGCAACTACAACCATCCACTGTGCAGGAGAGGAAGCAAGGCAAGCTTCTCTCTCTGACTGAAGAGGCCTGAGCAAGCTCCTCTTTGAGGCCACTGCCCATGCCATTGGTCCTCAAGTCACTTTCAGTTATCAACTGTGTGGTAGTGCAAGGCACTGGGTCATCGTATCGTAAGTGTCCCGATAACCTAAATACTATGCCAACATTGGCACGCTTGGTTTTCACCCCCAGCACCTTGGAATTTTCTTCTCCTGCAGCCTTGAAGGTGGCTAAACAAGCCACTCTTCAGATGGGAAAGGCCCATCTGCGGGAAAGGCCCTCGCCCACATCACCTCTCGAAGGGTGAAATCTGCAGAAATTTCTGAAGGGCAGAGAATGCCCATGCCATCACATTGCCACAGCAGCCCTGTGATCGCCACAAAAACACCAACACTGAACTACTCCAAAAAGCTACCGTGCCTACAGAAAATGCCTACCTCTTTTGATGTCATCCAGCTGAGGTTCAGGTGAAGGGTTATCTTTCAAGGGGGATGTTTTGGGTCCAACTGGAGGCTTCGTTGGAGCTCTGAATGGCATAGGTGGTGGGGGCGGGGGTGGCTGTAACGGCTGTGGGGCACGACTGGGCTGCTGCTCCATCCGGGCTTGGATCTTACTGCTCCCCTCAGCCCTAAAATGGGACACAGATATTAAACTGGGCAGACAAAGTCAATGGTCAAATTTGTCCAGGTGACTGACCACCTGGAAGTCTCTGCAGAACTCCATGCTTTTCAAACTGCTGCAAATACTAACACTTAAATTTTATCGCATGAACTAATCATTCGATAACCATCTGTTGTATTCCAGTTACGCATGGGTGCCAGACACGGGGAGGTGAGTGCAAGAGATCCTCAAGGAGCTCACATTTTGTAGCAGAAGCAGATGAAACAGAAATGTAGAATACAATGTGATTATGAGAACCCATTTTATTAATAGAAAATATGACGATTAGACTTGTAAACAATATAAAGTGATAATCCCAAGTGTATGAGTTACTAAATAAAACCAGTCCTTGAAATATTGGCCAGTCTGTAAATTTTTCCAGGATCCACTCACTGCTGGCTCATTTTGTCACACACCAGCTCTTGCTGGCAGACAAGCCAAGTGCTCCACTCCAAACGGAGAAAATTCTATCCATTAACAATTTCTTTTGTAAGTGGATTAGCCCAGCACTTTTCAAACTTTAGTGTGCACACAAATCAACTGAGGATCTCATTAAAATGCATATTCTCACTTATTAGGTCCTGAAATTCTGCACTTTCAACAAGCATCCAAGTGATAAATGCTGCTAGTCCCCAGATGACACTGCATAATAAGAGAAACGCTCACAACCATCAGCTCCTGAAGAAGTAACTGCAGCACCTGGTTCATGGAGGCAATTAACACAGATACACTGAGCCGCAGGAAGGAACAGGCGCTCTGCGGCACACCGGCACCGGACTCAGGCAGCTAACCATCTCACTTACCCTCGGTCTCCTTGTCTGTGTGGGTATGTTTTAAGGACAACAATAACACCTTTCTAAGAGCTACTTATAGATGAGAAAAGATCATTCCTAAAGCATCTAGCATTGTTCCTGGCATATAATAACTCCTTAATACAAGGTAGCTACTCCTTTATTTTTTGTGAAAAAAGAAAATGGCTTGAGGAAGCATAAACAGAAAAATTCAGGCTCTAACACTCTTTAAAATGTAATTGCTATATTACAATAATTGCTATATCACAATGTAACAACAGAACCACTGGATTATTTCTATTTACAGAATGAATTTTGACTTTAAATAAAATCTAACTGGTTTTATATCAGACATGTAATGACTATTGAATTAAATATTAAAAAGCACACTAGTTCAAAAATAGGCAAAATTTTATTTTGGTACAAAAATTTTGTTTTTATTAGATCTATTGAGATAGATCTAATAGTGAAAATTTTTTTTCACTCTAATAAACCATATATATTATTCAATTATTCTTTCATAATTATGTCTGTAAATTTAAATCTTACATTCCTTAAGTGGTACTGTTTCAAAAATCATGAGATTAATAGAGTCAATTTACATATAAAGTACACTCCTTTCCCCAATGGCTTTCACTTTTCAGGTCTTAAAAGCATTATTTCTTTCTACTACATTTAAGGAAAAGATATTTTACTGATTTGTCTGAGAAAACACAGGTGGAGCTATTGAGATTATCAACAAGATTCTGCGTACCCAGATGCTCACGATCTTATAAAATAACTGAATAGATAATACAAATGTCACATCACGCTGTATCTGGTGATTCCCATACCTTGTTTTCTTGACCTGAATGCTGCTACTGAGCTTTTCCAGCACATATTCACCAGTGTCATGGTTAATAATAAGCACACAGTCTTTCTGGTAAGGCCGCTTGTTCCCTTTGAACACAGTCATTGGTGGTGTGGACCCCTACATGGCACAAACAGTGTAAGTTTATCAAAACTAAGCACACCAGTTATGAATATCAAAACTGAATTTACAGGTGACTCTACCTTATCAAGTATTTTATCAGAGAAACCCAAAAAGAACTCCTGGTTTCCCAGGCAAAAACAAAGAAAAGGGTAATGATAATATAGAAAGAACCTATGACTCTACAACTGGTTCTAAGTAATCAAGAAAGGTAACATAAAATTGTAAATTACCATATATGTTCTAGGGACTCAAAAAATGTTATGAATGACAGTAAAGTGTGAACTGAGAAAAATAAATCAACCACTACTTGTGATCAAGCTTTCACTATGAGAAGTAAAACCAGGGAGAGATCTCTAATATTTCCTTGTAATTGGGGAGTTCAGGGTTTCCCCCTCATGCCAAGTAACCGACAGAGCATCTGGAAGGGCAGCTCATGATTCTGGTCAGCTCAAAGCAAGCACATCTGCCAGTCACCTGCCTAGGCCCTTTGATCACAACCCCACTGTTCTGAGGTCCAATAATTACACCTTTAAACCAACCATCTAGTCCTTCAGCCTCACCAGTGCCACTCACCCTGGGCTCTGTGGGCTCCAGAGCAGAAGGCAGGAGGGAGCTGACATTCTCTCAGATCCTCCAACTTTTTTTCATTTGAGGGCTTTAATAAGGCTTCTGCCTGTAACGCCTGCCCCTCCCTCTCTGTCAATTACTCAACCTGCAAATCTACTCAAAGGTCACTTCCTTAGGGAAGCCTCCCCTGGTTTTCCAAAATAAGCATTACATTTTCTTATATTTAAATTCCATATCATAAACTCCACAAGGGCAGAAAATGTGCTTGTTTTATTCAAGACTGTATTATCAGTGTCTAGTAATGCACACAGTAGGTGCTCAACTAATATTTACTAAATATAGGATTTAATCCTTTGTATAGAATCAAAAACTGGTTCCTCACTCATACAGTAAAAATTTAGAGTAGGAAGGGGCCTTAGGGACCACTTATCTAACCCCTTCATTTCACATTTGGGAAAGTAAGGTCTAAAGGGAGATGATGTAACCTGCCAAAGGCAACAAGTAATGAAACAGCAGTCTGAACTAGCAGACAAGCAATTCTTCCAAAATATAAAGCTTCCCAGGTCTCCTTGTCCAGTGCCTTTTCATTCTTCCACAGGTCGGCAAGAACTCATTGCGTGCCAGGATAGGGCTGTGACATGCAATGACACACGTTCACTGAGAATGTTGTCTAATCCTTTGGGGTTTATGATCAGAGTGCGGCTTGGGCAAGGCCTCACAAAAACCCTTCTATGAGAGAGTTCTCAATTCAGTTTTTAACTCAATTCATTGTTGCTCAATTAGCTGAATGCTCTGAACCTCTACTTTTTGCCTGAAACTATCAACCTACACTTCACTGTTTGTCAGGCACTATATTATATGAAAGATGGAAGTCCTGCTCCTGCCCACCTTAACTCCTGTCTTGGCAGCACCACACTCCTAAACTCTGATGGCTATTTATCAGCACGAAACCTCTGGCCTTCTTCTATAGAGATGCTTGGGGAGAAACTATGCATGTTTAAAAAAGGGGCCAGATGTCTGTGTAGGATCCCTGTTTACTTTATAGCAAATGGGACCTTCAAGAAAATGACAAAGAATCATTTTTAATCAAACACCTATGAAATATACATTCTATTCTACCCCACACCCTAAATTCCCTTTTTCCTTATGCTGACACTTCAGAAAATTAGGAATTTTTAAACAGTAGGTGATTCAAATAGTAATGACACAAAACATGAGAATTCACTGGGATTCTACATTTTTAAAAAACAACAATGGAATAAACTTACAGGGATATGTGGCAGCGTAATTGTGACTTCATCTCCTTTGCCAACCTGAAGCTCTCCTTCACAGGAAGTATCTATAGATGCTGGCTTAAAATCATCTAAAGAAAAAGGAAAAGAAAAGTACCCACCATGTTATTTATACTAAGGGTTTTCTAGGCATTCACATTTAACAATTATTATTCAAATAAATGGCAAACACAAATAATTTAGAATATTTTTTAAAAACGATTTCATTGTGGAAAACTTCCCATATACAACAACAAAGAGAACAGTGTAATAAACCCTGTGCACCACCATTATCCAGCCTCAGTAATTACCAACTGAGGACAATCTTGTTTCAGCTACACGTCTACATACTTCTCCTCCCACCCCACCTGGATTATTTTGAAGGAGAAAAAAAACTAGAATTTATATACCATTTTATTAGGCAAAGATACTCCCTTCTCCAGAGTGACAGATGAAAATCAATGCTTATTATCCATTATACCGTGCTTTATTAGGGTTGCTGTGAGATCAAAAGTGGTAACATGTTAATAACATTCTGTGATTGTAAAACCCTACATGAAATACAAAGCTACAGCATCATATAAGCTGATTTCTTTTTGTGTAGGAACTGTCAAAATTATGACTTGCCACACTCAAGTTCCATAGCTTTAATAAAGATACACCTGTAGATGTTGGGAGTACAGGGCTGAACTTTATCTCCAAAGGTTAATCCTGCCTGTTTCTGAATTGCAATTTAAGCACAATTACTCCATTTTAATACACACCTGCCTCAAACTGCAAGCCAGGTGCATAAGTAAAGTGTCTCATTTAAATTCCCCATTGCCCTTCACTCTACTAAGACATCAACTTAGTAAACTGCTCAAGAAATGACGGTCTTATCACATTCCATTATCCCTCTGAAAGAGCTGATCTGCTGCCAGTAGTTAGCATAGCAATGTAATGGCAGGGCAAGTGACCACACAAAGATGGAACTTCATTATCCAACCGACATCTCTCTAAGTGTTGAGTCACATCTATTAGCTCCTTTGGCAAAAACATGTCTTAACCAGCATTAGCACTACAAAGACAGGAAACCAGGAGTCTGTGAATCATAGAAGGATGCTCAGTCAGCCAATTAGTAAAAGCCAAATCTTTACCCAGGACACAGAGTGGGAGTGCCCTTCCTCAACGGAGTCTGTAATCATGTAGAAAAGGAAGGTCCAGCATAATGACTATTTTGACATTCATTATACCTGCTTCCAAACACAGATCAAACTTTAACTAATTCCAGGCTCACAAATTCGAATTTTATTCTTCACCTACAAGGGGCTTCGTCCTGAGTCCATCAGGGCAGTATAAGTGACCTCAAAAGACATCAAAGTCCAAGGAGATGCAGAGGCTGGAGGAGGAAGACTGAAGGGGTGCAGGGAGGATGCGGATTCTTTGGCTGCAAGAGGGAATGAAACGGTGTCTCAGGGTACCCAGAGCAAAGAAGCACCAGGAAAGAAAGCTGAGGAAAACGGGGGGAAAGAGAGTGAAATAGGAGGGAATAGGTGAGGCTCATGAGCAAACAGGAAGAGTCCTTTAAACACAGAGAACCCTGGTGGGACCATCAGAAAGAGGGGAGGAGGGGGGGAGATTACAGGAAGAACTAGAGTCTGAATGTGGGGTCAGGTTTTTCGGTAATAAACAGGGGGTAGGTTTGGCATAAAGGAAGGGCTGGCTGGGGCGATGAAAAGAGAAAGGGGCCAATGAACTTCAGAAGAAGCGTTTGGGGTCATAAGGCAGAAGAGGTGGAATGACGAAGGGTTCGGTTTTGGGAAGAGAGAGTCTGAAGGGAGTAGGGGGGAAGAAGGGAAAAAATCGAAGTCCCGGAGGAACTGGGGTAAGAAAGAGGGGAGCTAACGTAGGCAGGAGGTTCCCCGTACTTTGGGGTGCCCAGGTTGACAAGAGGCTGCTGGAGCGGCCGAAAGGAACCGCTGACTTACAGCGAATGGTGTGGAAAGAAGCTCGCGGTCGCTTTTCGAAGCTCTCCCCGAGTCGCAGGCAGTGTTCCTCGCGGTCCAGCAGCGGGTTCGCGGTCCCGTTCATGGCCCCGCACGGGCCTCGCGCCCGGACCGGGGCTCTTCCGGCGCGGCCACGGTACCAGCTTCCGGCGCCGGCGTCCGGGACTGCGACGCTACCTGGACACCACCCCGGAGCCCAGCAGGAATCCAACCGGCGCCCACCCAGCGCCGGAAGCAAGTCTCCTCCGCGTAAGGGTGGGGGAAGCCTTTGAGGAAGCAGGGCCGCGGGACTTCCGGCGTCGGGGAGGCACTTCTGGGTTCGTAGCGGAAGTGACGGAGACGGTGCCGCGGCAATAGAATTCCGCCGGGATTCTGAGGTCCTCAACGCTGGTTTGTCCATGCTCAGGGTGTTTTCGCGGCGGCTCCGAAATTCTGCTTCTGTAGCCTGGGTCTGGGTAAGGGCTAAATGCACTCGGCCCTACCTCTCCAAGTAAAGCTAGGGACAGGGACTGATGACGGTGAGTCTAGATCGCAGCGGGCTAGATTAACGTGGGGCTGATAACCACGTTATGTGTATGACAGCGTCTCCGCAGGCTGTCGCGGCTGCGTGGACCAAGTTTATCCCGAGTCTCCTGAGACGGATAGAGCCTCGGGACGCTACGCCACGCGTAACTCGTCTCTTCTTTCCCTTCATGCGGTGTTGGCGGTGCGAGGGCCTCAGTGCCTGGTTGTGAGAGAGCTTCTTATGATCAGAATCTCAGCCCACCCAGGCGTAGCTCCATCGTCCCCGAAAGAAAACTCTGTCTCCAATCGTTGGGAAACGGTGTTCCCACTTCTGTCTCGCAGTTGACCACCCGCATCCAATACGGGCAGCTGTTGGAGTTAAATCACCGCAAAATTAATGAGTATTTTCTCTCCAAGATTTCTCAGTTCTTGAGAGGGTCCTTTTTCTAAAGTAGAGAGATTTATTTTAATGGATGACTTATTTTGACTTGAAGTGCATGAGAGACCTAGGTCACTGAATGTTAGCCCTCTGATGGTGAGGACTTTGTCTTGATCTCCTTTGTGACCTCTCCTCGTGTAGCAGGCAGGGTGTCGTGTAGTCAGCACTAGTAAACGTTTGGTGACGAGCTGTTTGGTGAAAGAACCATTTTGGAACCACTAACCAGAATGTCATTCTTTTCCCTGCAAAGTAGGGATACAGCCTGGGCCTTGAACCCAACCTGAGGAACCACATCTGAGAAAACTCTGCCTATGTCTGCAGAATAAACTTGGATTCCTCAAACTGTTCAGGGATGGGGAATCTTCAGCAGTGTTAAACACATTACCATCAACTTATGAGATGACATCTTTGCAAAGGAAAGGGCTGCAAGGAAGGATTCTCAGCTCTGAGGAAGAGGAGAAACTGAAAAGAGACCAAGTTTTAGTGTCTGACTTTAAACAACAAAAACTGGAAAAAGATGCTCAGAAGAACTGGGATCTATTTTACAAAAGAAATAGTACTAATTTCTTCAAAGACAGACACTGGACCACCAGAGAGTTCGAGGAGCTCAGGTCATGTAGGGAGGTAATGTTACACCTTATCTGAGCTGTTTATTTAAAATGTGTAGGAGTGCTTGATCGCATTTTTATGGAGTGAGGTCGAGAATTTATGAAGCCTGTCAGAATGGTTTATACCTAAGAGAGAAATAGCCTGGTTTCTAGTAGTTTTAGCAGTTCTTGGGTTGTATAAAACATAGAAGAGAACTTTAGTGAGCATTTGTTTCTTTAAAGCAGGGGTGTCAAACTCATTTTCATCGGGGGTCACATCAGCCTCACGGCTGCCTTCAAAGGGCCGAACGTAATCTTAGGACTGTATAATGTAACTACTCCTTAACTAGAGGTAAGGAGCTCGGTGCTGCCGCCGGGTAGAAACAAGGTGCTGGACCGGATAAAACAATGTGGAGGGCTGGACTCAGCCCATGGGCCTTGTGTTTGCCCCCTGTGTTTTAAAGCTATCCGAAAGTTGTAAATGTTAAATTCATACTGAGTAACTTCAGCGACAGATTCATGATGATGATGATGAACACTTTACCATGGCCCTGTTCTAGAACTTTACATCTGTAATTGAAGCGGTGTAATAGCACTGTGACATAGGCACTAGTGTGAACCCTACCTACTGATGAGATTGAAGCAAGAAGCTGTTTAAGTGATTTGTTCAATGATAGAAAATGGGGAAGGGTACAGTCTGGATTGAATGCAAGCAGTTAGTCTGTTCTCTTAGCCATTATGCTGTGTTTTCTCCACACCAAACTGCCCAGTGTTGGACGACAAGTTGAGATGCCAATATTAGCTTTTGGTTATCAATTTACTTATTTATTACCTCTGGGGATGGAGTCCTGGTCTTTCGTACTCTGTACCTTTTAGTTTGGTTTATTTCTTCACTACACAAATGTAGTGCCCTCTAATTTTGGGTTCTCTTTCCTTAGTTTGAAAATCAAAAATTGACTGTGCTTGAAGCTGGCTGTGGGGTCGGGAACTGTTTATTCCCACTTTTAGAAGAAGATCTGAATATATTTGCTTATGCCTGTGATTTTTCTCCAAGAGCAGTCGAATATGTCAAGGTTGGTGCACCCTCTGTGTGTCCTGTTATGTTTCTGGTTTTTTAGATTTGTTTGACCTGCACTTTATACCCATTTTCCCGGTTTCAGCCCTCTCCATGAAGTTCACCAGCTATGGTCATCATAAATGTTCTTTTCCATTTACATACATATATAATACATATAGAAAGACAGCAAAAAAAGTGGGAATACCATAATGACACCCATATACTTATACCAAAATCAGTGATTGCTAACATTTTGCCCCATTTGCTTTATAGACTCCCCTTGGCCTGAGCTGTTGTAAATTATAGACACTTTACTACTAAACATGCCTGCATACGTCTTCAGTAAGGATTTTCTCTCCATAACTACAAAACCCACGTCTAACAAAAATAACTGCAATCTTGTAGTATCTTTAGTACCCAATCCAGTTTTGGGTTTCCCCAAATAGTCCCAGGTGTCTTTTATAGCTGTATTTAATCAAGGGCTGCATCTTATACTTCATTACACATCTTGAATCTCTTTGGCCTAGAATGTTCCTGCCCTTCACGTTGACCTTTTTTGTACCAACATTGAGTTTTTTGGAGAATAAGCCATTTTCTGTAATGAGATCCTATATTTCAAAATGTTTTGATTGTTTCTTTGTATCATTGTTTAACTTGTTCCTCTATCCCCTATTTTTGCTGTCAACTAGAAGTTAGATTTAAGTTGGGTAAGTTATTTTTGGCAAAAATAATAGGTGATGTATCTCTCATATTGCATCGTGTCAGGAGGCAGTAATATCTGGTGATCTTACTATAAGTGATGCTAGTTTTGATCACAGGGTTAAGGTAGGAACTACCTAATTGTTGTACAAATATTCCCCTTTTGCCATTGACAGATATGTGGGGCATACTTTGGCAACATGCAGATATCTAGTTTTCCATTAGCTTTTCACAGTTCTGGCATTCATTAGATTTTTTGTTTAATATCGGTATCACATTGTATTATAACTTTCTTTTATCATTCTACATTACATCTTGCAGAGTTTTTTGTCTACCACATTTTAGATGTTGTAGTATTCCATAAAATGGATATACCATACTTTAACAATTACTCTGTTGATATTTGCTTAAATTATTTCTAATTTTCTGCTCTTTTAAACAGGGTTAATATCAGCATTATACACATGCTTCCGAAACACATGTACACATTTTTCTACATGTTTCTATATGTTGAGTAATGGAAAAAAGAGTATACACATTTATATTTTAATAGATAACGCCAAGTTTCCTTCCAGAAACTTAATAGTTTATAATTTAACCAATAATATAAGGATACCTTTTACTCTAGGCCCTTAACCTTTAATGTCAGTCTTTTTTATATCTCCCAATTTTATGGTCAAAATATAATGTCAACATATTTTACTGTGTTTATTTCTTATAATCAGTGAGGGTGAAGTCTTTGTAATATGTAAATAAGCATTAGATTTCTTTTGGTCCCTTTGGTTCTTTTGGTTTTTGCTTAAGAATCCCTTTATTCCACATACATTTATCGAGAACCTAATGTGTGCCGGTCACTGTTGTGAGCACTGGGTTAAGTAGTGAACAAAGTGGACAGAAAACCCCAACTAGTATGGAGCTTCTATTATAGCATGAATTGTCTGTTGATAACCTTTGCCCACTCTTCTGTCATTTTTGCTCTTATTTTTAGTATATATTCTGTTGTACATGTTGCAAACATTTCTTCTAGTTTTATTCAATGTTTTATTATATTGCTCTATGACAAGATTTAAATTATGTCACATTTATTAGTCTGTTCACTTTGAGATGAGATGCTAAGGTTTTGTATCTTGTTTAGTAGTTCTTTTTTTTAATTACATTTTATTGATTTCACTATTATAGTTGTCAAATTTTGCCCCCTCCACCCAGCTCTCCCCTTTCCCTCAGGCAATGCTCACACCATTGTCCATGTCCATGGGTCATGCATGTGTGTTGGTTGGCTACTCCATTTCCTATGCTGTACTTTACATCTCCATGACTATTCTGTAACAACCAATTTGTACTTCTTAATCCCTTCACCTTTTTTGCCTATCCCCCCAAATCCCCCTCCCATCTGGCAACTATTAAAATGTTCTCTGTATCTATGATTCTGTTATGCTTGCTTGCTTATTTTTTTTAGATTCAATTGTTAATAGGTATGTATTTATTGCCATTTTATTATTCATATTTGTGATCTTTTTCTTAAATTTAAGTCCCTTTAAATTTCATATTATAATTGTTTGGTGATGATGAACTCCTTTAGCTTTTTCTTGTCTGGGAAGCTGTTTATATGCCCTTGAATTCTCAATGATAGCTTTGCTGGACAGAGTAATCTTGGTTGTAGGTCCTTGTGTCTCATCACTTTGAATATTTCTTACCAATCCCTCTGGCCTGCAAAATTTGAGAAATCAGCTGATGATCTTATGGGAACATCCTTGTAGGTAACTAACTGCTTTTCTCTTGCTGCTTTTGAGATTTTCTTTTTGTCTTTAACCTGTGGCATGTTAATTATGATGTGTTTTGGTGTGGGCCTTTTTCCATCCATCTTGTTTGGGATTCTGCTCTTGCTGGACTTGTATGTCTATTTCCTTCACCTAGTTAGGGAAGTCTTCTGTCATTTTATTCAAATAGGTTTTCAATTTTTTACTTTCTCTCTTCTCCTTCTGTCACCCCCATGATGCAAATGTTGGAATACTTGAAGTTGTCCTAGAGACTCTTTACATTATCCTTATTTTTTTTGGATTCTTTTTCTTCTTGCTGTTCTGACTGGGTGTTTTTTGCTTTCTTATATTCTAAATTGCTGGTTTGATTCTTGGCTTTATCCCCTCTACTGCTGATTGCCTGTAAATTGTTCTTCATTCCAGCTAATGTAGCCGTTGTTCTTACTGGTCCTTTTTTATGGTTTCTGTGTCCTTTTGTATGCTGTTGAAGTTCCTCTGAATTCATCGGCTCTTCCCCTAGGTTCATTGAGCATCCTTATAACCAGTGTTTTGAACTCTGCATTTAGTAGTTCGCTTGTCCCCATTTTGTTTAGTTCTTTTTCTGAAATGTTGATGAGTTTTTTTATTTGGGCCATGTTTCTTTGTCTCCTCATTTTGGCAGCCTCCCTGTGTTTCTTTCTATGCATTAGGTAGAGTTGCTATGATTCCCTGGCTTGGTAGAGTGGCCTAAAGTAGTAGGTGTCCTGTAGGGTCCAGTGGCACAGCCTCCCCATCACTCAAGCTGGGTATTCAAAGTGCACCCCTCATGTGGGCTGTGTTCACCCTCCTTTTGTATTTGAGCCTTGATTGATGTTGGCGGGTCAATGGGAGGGATTTATCCAGGCTGATGAACTGGCTGTGGACTGGCTGTGACCATTGCCTACCACTGTGGAGGATCAGCCATGCAGTGGCCCCCTCCACAGGCAGGACTTACTTCAGCAGGGCTCTGGTGCCTGCTGAGTCTGCCCCTGAGTGTGTATTGTGGAGATGATTAGGTGGTGGTGCTCTGACATGGTCTATGGCTGTCCATTGGGTGTGCTGGCTCTGGGGTTCCCCAGGAGGTACAGGCCAGTGTCAGCCACTGCCTGTGTTCTGTCTGGGGCCACCCAGCACAAAGCTACAAAGCAATCTGAAGATGGCTGCTACTTGTGCTGGGCTTAGAGGTGTCCAAGTGAGGCCAAACTGTGAACCAAGGCCATCTGCTGCTAGTGCTGGGCCTGGGGCCACTTAGCAAGAGGTACAGGGGCTCACTGAGGCCAGCTGCTGCTTGTTTAAAAGGGATTAGGAAAATCTGAAGCATGAGCCAAGACAAGCTTTTTGTATGGAAAAGCCACCAGAAACAGTTTGGGTGCCCAAAAGTTGTTTGGTGCCAAGCCTCAGGGAATCACCAGGGCATGGAAAACAGTGCAGGCCAGGTTGTTCGAGTCTCAGATATGGTGCCCTGCCTGCCAGCTCTCTGGGGGAGTCTCATTACAGGAACCATGGCCCCTGCCAGCACTTCTGTCTGGGAGAAAGCTGCCCCCCAGCTCTCACCTGATGCCAGACACTCCATCTCATTCTCGTTTGCCTCTGGTGCCTTTTAGGCTGCTACCCTGGTGCTGGAGCTCAGGAGTGGGTCTGAGTAAGTCCATGTGTGGGCCCTTTAAGAGGAACTTCCAGGGATTTCAGCAGTTTCTGTTCTCCTCAGCCTCAATCTCCACTGGTTTTTTCGGCCAGAAGTTATGGGGACTTATCTTTCTGGTGCTGGAACCCTGGGCTGGGGGGCCTGGTGTGGGACTGGAACCCCTTGTTCCCGAGATAGTTCTCCCAATTTTTAAACCCCACAGGTAGGTGTAGGACCAGCTCATTCCGTGTCTCTGCCCCTTCTACTACTCTTGATGTGGCTTTTTCTTGAATTCTGTAGTTGTGAGTCGACTTGATTTCCGGTGGTTCTAAATAATGGTGGGTCTGTAGTTTGGTTGTAACTTTGGTGTGGCTGTGCACGGAGGCACGCTCTGTTTACCTAGGCTGCCACCTTAGCTTTCTCAGTATCTGTTTAGGATTCTGTAATCACTCTATATTCTTTTTATAATTTTGGTTATTATGTTTTCTAATTAATCTGGAAACATTTTGGTCATTATTTCTTCAAGTATTTCTTCAGCTCTGTTCTCTCTTCTTCTAGGATTCCAGTTCCATGTCTGTTGTGCTGTTTGCTATTGTACCACAGCTCTTGGATGCTGTTTGTTTGTTTTTTTACTTATTCTTTCTTTGCATTTTCTGCTTGTATAATTTCTCATTCCCCATCATCAAGTGTACCGATCCTTTCCTAGGCGATAGGTGTTCCTATTGAAGAGCCTGCCCAGAGTATTCTGTCTGTTCCTGTGTTTTTGGTTTTTAGAATTCCAGCTGGTCCTCTTTCCATTCTCTCTCTGCTGAAATTACCACCTGATCTTGCATGTTCGCCTTTTTAAACAGAACCTTTAACATTTCAATCATGGTTATTTTAAAGGCCCAAACTTTTAGTTCCAACATCTGTGTCATATTTGAGTGTGGTTCTGATGATTGCTTTGTGTCTTCAGACTGTGTTTTTTCATGTTTTGGTATGCCTTGTAGTTGTTTGTTGAGAGTCAGATATGTAGGACGGTGGATACTGAGTATTTGTAATAATTGAGGCAGAAGTTGGGCTGTATTTGAAGTCTGTTGTTGCTATAGTTACCTGCAAGGTTTGTTCTTGCTATGGGCACCCCAGACATTAGACTCCTCTGGTGACTGCTTTTGTCTCTCCTCTTGGCTTTGGGTCTTCCCTTTGTGCTGTTCCCCACAAAGAAACTGTCTCTTGTGGCTATTCCAGCTGCAGTCCACTGTTATTATTACTGGAGACCTGTTGGTAGGGTACGGGAGAAGGGATTGTTCCGTAATGCTCTAATTTTCAGCTTTCAAACTACATATACACCTGGTCTCAGGGGTGTGACCTTCTGCCTTTCCAGGACTAGAGCTTGTCCCTCCCATCCCTCCCCCAGTGGTGGGAAGTACCTACCAGTGTCTTCATCTATGGTCTTGAGGTCATTCTTCCTGCAGATTAAGACTAGATCTGGGCAGAGTGGTACTCTTCCCCAGTGGCAGTGCCCAAAGGCTGCAGGCCTTTCCTGCAGATTAAACCTTTCTTCCTTAAAGGAGATGGGAAAGTGCAGCACCAGAAAGAACACCGTCCTCTCTTTGAGAGCCTGGTGCTGTTTCTGGTGGAAACCCCTGCAAAACGGCGGGAACCACCCCTGTGGCATCAGCCCCCCGGAGCCTCACTGTAACAGCCACACTCAGTCTCCAGCAGGTTCTCAGATGTCTAGTTTTATCTTTCCAGTCTGGAGGCTTCTGCCTCAGGTAAGTAAGTACTTGGGTCCTATCTTTTTCTGAAGGCACCTCTCTCCAGATTTTGGGAAGGATGGCTGTTTTCTGACCTCTGTTCTTTGATGGGTGCACAAAAAAGTCATTACTCTGCTGTCTGTCCAGCTTTTTTCTCACTGTAGGGTTGGGGGCTGCATTTTCCCACCTCTGTCTATCCCTGAGCTGCAGCTGGGAGTCCTTTCATTCATCTGAGGAGCCAGAGGTCATTTAATACAAATAGGTAGCTAGTTGTTCAAACACAATAAGTTGATTAAAAATTCATTTTTCCTTCCTGATAATTGTCACCTTTATTATCTACCATTTTATAAATGTAATTGTCACTTTTGTCAATATGTTTTTTCCCATCCAGCACTGAATTTCTCCACATACCTGGGTCTGTTGGGGGACTTGTTCTTCTCAGTCTATTTATTCCCATTCTCAAACCACATTATTTTAGTACTGCATTTGTAATGTTTTGATGTTCAGTAGTGTACCCTTCTCCTTCATTGTTCTTCATTTTTAAAAGTTGACTTGGCTATTTCGAAATATTTTTGCTTTCAGATTAATTAGACTACCTGGTCAAGATTCTAGAAATTTTGTAGGATCCAGTTGAAATTGCACTGGATTTGTAAATGGAATGATAGATAGTGTTGGCGTCTTTTCAATATTGAATCTTCCCATTAAATAACTTTATATGTCTATTTTTTCAGGTCCTTATTTATATTAAAGTTTTAAAATTTTCTTTGTAACATGCTTACGCATGTGTTGAAGCCCACCAACCAGAATGTACCAGGAGCACACTCGTAGTAAACAAAAGTTGGTTTATTTAGCTTGCTGCAGCAAGGGGAAACATACCCAGAAGAACCGTGGGAGGATTTCTCATAGGACTTGGTTTTGTGGTGCATAATTCAAAGGAAGATGTACACAGCAGAAGCCAGTTTGGGATTATTGTCCTTGTGGCAGCGAATGTTTCTAAAATGCTCAGGTTTGAATATGTGATAGGCTGTGTCCTCTCCTCAATTAAAAATGACTTTTTAAAATGAAATCTTGCCCCTCACAGCAACATGGAATATTACACACTTTAATGTGCAGATGGCTCATAACTCAGTTGTCCCCATAGCAAAGCGATCAGTAAGCTCTGAGCAGCAGAACAGGAGCAGAAACAGGATCTCCTCCTGAGGCCGCGGTTTTCCATATGTATCAACGTGGATGTTGAATGAAAATTCATTTGTGTTTTTCTCCTCTTTAGCAAAATCCTTTATACAACACACAGAGATGCAAGGTGTTCCAGTGTGACTTGACAGAAGATGACCTTCTGGAGCACGTGCCCCCAGAGTCCGTGGACGTGGTCATGCTGATATTTGTGCTCTCTGCCGTCCACCCTGAGAAGATGCGCCTGGTCTTGCAGAACGTTTACAAGGTTAGTGGTTTGGAGCCTGCACTCGAGGGGTTGGACATCCCAGTCTTCTTGCTTCCCTTCCTCCACGGATCCTGTGCTGTCCAGGTTGAAGAGCCCCCATTCTCAGTGGGTAGGCTGGATAGTCAGTATGTGGAGAGGGATTCTCCCGTGTAAAACATCCACCCTAACCTTTGATTTGTCTGGGGGCCACTGTTGCTCTTCAGAGCTCAGCCAGCCCTGGAGCGAGGATGACTTTTACAGACACAAACGACCAGTGGTAACCCTGCAGCTCACCTGGGAGGCACCCAAGTACAAGTGTGTGTTACCCAGAAAGCCCGTACGCCTTACCTGTTCCGTGAGTCAGTCTGCTTTACAAAGGGAGAGGAAAACATTCAGCAAGTTGAAAAGGTGAATGTTAGGTAAGAGAGATTCTGTGTATTTAGACCTATACATTAAAATTTAACCCTGATCTTAATTATTTTAAAAGGGTAGTGAGGTAGAAATTTCAGGATACTGGAAGCCTGTTAGGGAATAATTATTCCTACTTAAAACAATATTTTAAAGGATATTCAGGTGTTGCCACATTGGTTTTAGCCCTCTGAGGTTTTTTAAGGGTTTTTTTCTCCTTAACCTCTCCTTTCCCTGCCCTTGGTATCTGAACACATGAGAACCCAGCATGTACCAGTGAATGGGCGAGGAACTTAACCTGAGTTGAGAGAGAACAGATGGTAGGGTCACCTGATTTGAAGGTCCAGGTGAAGGTGAGGGATTATTAAAGATGGGGAACTAGAGAGAGGGAAAAAGATGGTGGGGTGGCCAGAGAGTGCCCCAGGTGACAGAGGGGGAACAGAGGGTCACACTTTCCAGTGCTGACAAGGCCCTGGGCCGTTACCGTGGGAGGGAGTGGGGGGCGAACAGGTCTTTGGAGGAGAAGCTCAAGTCATTACGAAGCCAGCATGTTTGGAAGGGCAATCCTCATGGATGTGGAAATTAACCAGAATTGCGAATGGAACAGTGTTGAGAGTAAGAGAGTAAACCACAAGACACATCCGTCATGAAATGAAGGGACGTGTCCTGGAACCAGCAGACGACAGTGACAATAAGGGCTGGTGGGTGATATAACCCGACGCCCAGAGCTGGGGTGGTCGGGAGGAGAGAGGAGAATGCACAGAGAGTAGCAATGAGGAGCAAGGGCGGAAACCAGTCAGGTCTTCAAGCCCAGGGCTGCCAGGGCTGTGGGAGAAAGCAGCTGTGACTTGAGAGGTTGCAGGGACAAGGTTGCAGGTTCCTGGTGTCATCAGGGGACAGCCGGGTTTCGTGAGCACACGAATGAAGGGGACATTCAGAGGAGGCTGTGGATACTAGTGGTTTCACCGATGGAGGTTCCAGGTGTTAGGAAGTAGTTAGGACAGAGTAAGGAATATCGGGAACCTTATGAGGATGAGGATGCCCGCTGCCATTCTTCATTACCCTGGGGGACCTCGTCAGCTCAAAAAGACAAGAAAAAATTTAAGGATGAGAAAGAAACAAAACCCATTATTTTCAGATAATATAGTTGCCTAGATACAAAGTATTAAAAGGATTACAAAAGCTGTTGTAAGGTAGATCTAATTAGTCCAGGATGTTAACATCAGAGAAATTTAAAAACCACATGATTTTAAACTGAAAGAAAACCTTAAAGTTGAATTCCCTCCTTTTTGGAATGGAATGGTGAAGTAAATAGACCAAATTGTCATCAGAAGACCCAGATTCTGGTCTACCCTATGCCACGACTCACCTTGAAACCTCAGGCAAATCCCTTCTACTCTGAGCCTTAGTGCTTGTATGTAAAGTGGGTACAGTGGAGCTCACCCGCCCACCCCTCGGAGTTACTGGGGGAACGAGAGGACCCAGCACTGAGAAATGCCTGGTTCACCAGCTGTACAGTGCCGTGATCACAGGAGGCGTTAGCATCGTCATTGCTACTTACAGACGAGAAAACGTGCGCAGAGGGATAAAATTACGTGTCAGGGTCACTCAGCTGGTGGGGGAAGCGCGGTACGAGTCAAGGTTGCCAGCTTCCTGCCTGAGTGTTCTTCCCGCCGTCCGTGCAGCGTCCCTTCCCGTCTTCCAAAACAAAGAATAGGGTTTTCTCGTGTGAGCCAGCTTTTTCAGAGTTTTCCCCTCTCACTTACTCACAATTTAAAACTTAGCGTTTTTGACCAAGGTAAGAAATTTTTATCCAAGAGGTTCTTTACTGACAATATTTAAAATGCCTGCTAGTATCAACAAGAATATACTAAATGAGAGAAGCTGTTAGCACACTTGAAAAGACGTATCACGGACAGTATTTTATATTCTGTTGAGAAAGGAGAACCACATCAGACTACGTCAAATGTCTATTAAAATAGGCAGTATATGTCATCTGTCTTAAAAGATGTCTTGTTGATATAATGGGTCAGAATAAGAGTTAATAAAATGTGTGCCCCCTTTGAAGTCCACTCTAGTTTGGTAATATTGATGCAGTTTGAAAACATTTTCACATAAAAAGCACAGAGTGTCACAGAGTGTACCCCTTTCTTTTCATCCTGAAAAACATGGAGCTGTTTGCTTTGTGAAACAGGGGCAATTCTCCCCACCGCCTGCCGACCTTTCCTTTCCGCTCAGTGACGCCTGGCCCTGGCAGGCTTTAATGGGGGCTCCCCCTTGGGACTGACGTCGGAGCCCTTGCCCGCACTCCGCTCGGCTGGCCGGCTCCTCCTCACGTCAGGAAGTGCAGCAGCACCGTGTGGGGACAGTGCTCAGGTGCCCCTCCTTTTCCTGTCAGTAGTGTCTGTGGAATTGGAATGACCCCACGCACACAAACACACGTGTCCCGAGGCTAACGGGTGTTTCTGGTTCCACAGTGTGATGCTTTGGGGCCCAAGTGTGAGTCCTGACTCCCCCACTTAGTAGCTGATGCGCAGCTGCAGGCACATCACTCAACTGTTCCGATGTGGTTTCCTCTCCTCACATGAGGATGGTAATCACACTCGCTCCTTCGTCTCTGGATTGGATGAAGATGCAGTGAGACGATGTCTGGAGTAAGCTGTGCAGTGCTAGGCCTGTGTCATTACTGCACGGTGGGCAAGCCACACATAATTCTAGCACAAGGAAACCAGTGTGAGACTCGGAGTGAGGAAAGCCAGGCACAATCAGTAAAAAGTCAAAATGACACCATGTGTTTTTAAAGAGACAGCTGGACCACAGGGTCACGGAATAGGAGGTGCTAATAAAATGTTGGGAAAGTGTTTTAATGAGGGTAAGACTGTTTTGTTTAATGTCTTTAACATTTTAATTGTTTGACACTGTACCTCCCAGAGTGTCTTGTAAGCTCTCAAGAAGTATCACTTCATGGGCACACTGCCAGGCTGGCCGTGCCTTTGATTAGCAGGCCCTTTCCCTTCGGGTTATGGGGGTCCCAGTCTGACCCCTTTCCTAATGACCGTACAGGCAAGTTCCTTTCATCTCCAAATGAATCAGATTTTTATTTCACAGTAAGCTTTATTTGACTGGGTTCCCACAGTTATATGCAGCCAACTTTTGCTTTGTAGGTGTTAAAACCAGGCAAAAATGTCCTGTTCCGCGACTATGGGCTATATGATCACGCCATGCTTAGGTTTAAAGCCGGCAGCAAGCTCGGAGAAAACTTTTATGTTAGACAAGATGGAACCAGATCGTATTTTTTTACTGATGGTAAGATTAATGGGATCTGTCTCTGTTTACCTGATTGTGTCGTCACTGCAGTACTGGCTGGGGGTGGGGATGGCGCTACTTAACGCACATGCACGAGACCCTGGAACAAGCCCTCTGTCACGTGCCACCTACCTAGCACCTGGGACAACATAGGCACAGCCTCTGGCCACGGTGAGCTCGCAGCCTCCTCTGGTGACAGTGTCTCGTTAGCCCGGTGAACGGACAGGCTCCGGCATGCCACGCGCACTCCCTCCCAGGGACTGTGCTGGGGAAGGGGCGCAACTCAGAATCTTCCTCACGTCGTTCAGTCAGACACGGAGGAAATAGGACAATATAGTGCCTTGTAGTTACTCTCCCAGGTCACAAAGAAACATTTTTTAAAGGTTTTATTTATTTATTTCAGAGAGAAGGGAGTGGAGGGAGAAAGAGAGGGAGAGAAACTATGCGAGAGAGAAATATCATCCATCAGTTGCCTGTCCTCCGCCCCCCAAACAGGGTCCGGAGGAGCAGCCCAGACATGTGCTGGGACAGGAATCCAACTGGTGACCTTACAGTTTGCGGGACAGTGCCCAACCAGCTGAGCTGTACCAGCAGGGCAAAGAAACAGTTCTCTATACAAGTGATTGGGTCTGTATTTAAATGCAGAAATTTTCTATAGAGGGGTCCTAAAAAGTCACTTTTTATTTTAAAAAATCCAAACATGAGTTTTAAGCCTACTTAATAATCTGGACCATAAGATAATTATCTTTTTAAGCTTTTAAGAAACATTTTTATTTCTTGAAAGAAAATATTCTTTTAGATTCTAAATGAAAAATGAGTAAATGCCATTCAGACTGCAAATCATAAAAAATGTCAGGTGAAAATTAAGCATTTGTTTTAAGGTTTCTGATTCACGAGATTTGATGAAACCAGTTGTAAGTAAGTGAGAAGACATAGTAACATCTATAAAGGGCTTCAGAGCACAGTCTTTGAAGTAATACTCTTAGAGTATTTTTGCTCCGCAGCCATTTATTCTATTTGTTTGTTTCACACGTAGTGATGTAGTATTTGGGTCAAATTTTTCTTAAGGTCAATCACCAGCAGATGGTTTTTCCCCCACACTGGTCACAGGTTCTCCTCCTTCGTGCTTAGACAGGCGAGGTGCTTGGTGCAAACAAGTCGAGCATGTGCTCTCTGTGTGAATGCAGCCTGGAACTGTGTTGCTTTTCACTCACACATTTGCACCTGGGGTCGCAAGGTGGACACAGTGCAAGCTGCCCTTGAGCTTCTCTGGTTACCTGTTTAGTTAGGGGGTTTCACTGGAGTGTAAGATGATGAGAAGTAGAAGTGTGCCACTTTTTAAAACAAAACCTTTAAATGGTAGCATTGAAGTTTTCATTACATTACAAAGAAATCTGTTTCAGCCTTCCAGCCCTCCCCCTCACCCCACTGCAAAGCAAGCCTACCGATCTCCACACCGATGTTGGCCTGCTGTCTTACAGAATTCCTGGCCCGGCTCTTCGTGGACACAGGCTATGAAGAAGTGGCGAACGAGTATGTGTTTCGTGAAACGGTGAACAAAAAAGAAGGCCTGTGTGTGCCGAGAGTTTTCCTTCAGAGCAAATTCCGAAAGTCTCCCAAGGACCCAGCTCCCGGGACCCTGGGCCTAGGTCACACCTCCTGACCTTTCACGAGGTTGACTTTGTGCCTCCCCTTGAAGAGGAAAGTTTAAGGTCACTCTTACTGTTTTGCATATTTTTATATTTTAACTTTTTAAATGAGTATATGTAATTTTTGTATTAAAAAGTAACAAGTATGTGTGTCTGTTATATATAAAAGTCAAATAAAATTGCAAGGCCTGAAAAGTAAAGAATGTTTTATGGTGTAATTTAGCCATGTTGTCCAACCATCAGAGACCCCAAGAGAAAGCCACGGGACCCTTCATCACGAGAGCCTTGTCCTGACCCACGTGAGTCTGCGAGCCCGCCCTGTGCAGCGAGGCAGACAGCCCTGTGGGAAAACGGGGCCAGATAAGATAACTCATCTGAGTGTACTTTAGCCTGAAGGTTGTTCTCTTTTTCCAGTGTCTCATATTTGCCCATTTTTCTCCACTTCAGTTCACTCTTGGGCCTCTTTGAGCCCAGTGTTTCACAAGTGCCACTCTTGCTGGGTCTCAAGAACCACTGTGGCTCCCTGCCCAATTCTTGAGACCTCTGTAATTGGGCCAGTCCCTGCCACACTGTCCCAAGGAGCAGGGAGAGAAGGGAAGGCCGCCACCAGCCCCCTCCCCTCCCGTCATCTGCCCGAGGCAGTTTCCACAGAAGTAGGGCAGAAGGACTGTCCCATCTCCCCGAGGAGGAATGAGGAAGCCGTGGTCAGGGGTAAACGACTGGCATGGCCAAAAGCACACAGCCCATGTTGGATGGACTCAGGGGAAATCTTGAACCAGTCTGCTGACCTGTTCCCCCACGTCCTCATATAACGACTTTTACTTCATGAACTAGAATCCAGGATCTTGGGGGCTACTAACAAACGGTGGTCCTGTAAGCCTCTGCATCCCAGTTTTTGGGAGAAAGCTGTTCAGAGAGTGTCTGGCTTGAGCACACAGACTAAGCTTTGCATGCAGCAGGCCAGGCCCCTCCACCCCAGCCAGCCGCGCCTGGAGAGGAGGGTCCCAGCGGGAGGGGCTGGGCCACCGTCAGAGCCATTCTGCACAGTTGGAGTGAATCCTCCGGGTGAGAAGAGGGAGAGGCTGTGGGGCTCAGTGTGCTTGCTGGGTGTCCTGACGCCGCCTGTCCTTGACTTCCTGGGAGGGGCTGGTGGAGCGGGAAGCAAGAGGAAGTCCTATCATCTTGTGGTCTCGTGCTTTATATATGATCTCCCCTTCTTTTGCAGGCTGGAAGGTGGCTGTACGAGGTGAGAGCAAAGCTGATACCAGTACAGAGTTTGTCCTTTGGAGTGTGTTTTTCTTTGAAATCAACATGTGAAGAAGATGGGCCTATAGGGAAGACGCTCACCGGCCCTCCAGAGTGGAGTCAAACCTTGCCTCAGAGCAGTCTGTCGGGGGGGCAGGGCCAGGCCAAGGCCCTGCATTTCCAGGGCAGGACTCCGTCCTCTAAGCCCCCTCCACCAAGTGACTCCCACCCCTAGCCTCGGCCTCAGAACTGCCCCATACCCCCTCCACAGAATTCCTCTTGCCTATTTCCTCCATTAGTCCTGACCAGCATTTCTCGGATTTTAGCAGCCGAGCTGGATAACAACAGGATATTTGAGGTAGAAAGTGGAGAGCAGTATAGTGTAGTAGGATAAGCCCGGGCTTTTGGTATCAAGTCACCTGGAACTGTGACCTCATCACTTGTAAAACGGGGATGGCTGTACTGTTTCCTGGAAGGTGGGGGGTGGGGGGTGGGGAGGCAGAGGCAGAGCTCAGGTGAGCTTCCCTCAAGGCCGGTTCCTAACAGGCCCAGGCCGTTAGGACCGGTAGCGGGAGTTGGGGGCCTCTGTACGAGGGCAGCCCATGTGCCTCAGAGACACGGGGGAAGAAGGTCGAACAGGCTGACAAGGACCCGTCCTTAAGAAAAGGCCTCTCTGCCTTTGCCGATAGTTGAGGGGACACCTGTGAAGGAGGTCAATGGTTTTCTCAAAACAACTTGGAGTTGTCTCGAATCACAGGAGCAATTATGGCCCCAAATTCCTACCCCATAAAGGAAAGACTGTAAGTTTTCACTTGGCAGTTTTAAAGCAGGTCTAATGATGTGCCCACCCCTGACACTGAGCAAGGTAACCCCACTTTAAAATATACTGGCTATGCCCTGGCCAGAGTAGCTCAGCTGGTAGGAGTGTCATCCTGTAAATGGAAGGGTTGTGGGTACACTTGTAGTTAAATGAATGAGGTGACAAAGTCCATCGGGAAATCGGGCGAAGAAGCAAACGACAAAAAGGCTGAGCATTATAAACGTATGGCTTCAGTCCCGCTGCCTCAGCGCCCTCGTGTCCATTCTCCCTTGGCACACCTCCATGATGGCACCCCAGATTTAAGACAGCAGGGAAGTACGGTCTTCCACCGTGTGGGTCCCTGGGGACCCAGGAAAGCAAGGACATGGTTCACTTGCAGAACTGTAACAGCCCTCAATGAATCATAGCCTGTTGTTAACCAGCACTGCCCTGTCTTCACAGACAGAAAGCGACCCCAGAACGGTGGCGTGTACTGGTTGGCATGACTATAGAAAATAGCCTAAGTACTGTAGTACCATACAGTGTGGTGTATGTACCATATAGTATTGACACAGGCTATATATAGTATAGAGTATGCAGTAACCACACAGCATATACCCTATACTATACTATAATATATAGTTCTACGTACGTCTTTTGAGTTTTCTAATATACGCTGCATGGTATAGTGCAATGATAATAAATTATAGAATTGGGAGTATGAACATCTGGGTTCCAGGCCAGCACTTGCCTAATTCAGGTCTCCAAATTCTCGGAGCCTCAGTCTTGCACATCTCCAAGGCTGGGATCCTGCCACCTGTAGCCCGGGCCTGCCGCCAAGATTAAATCACATGGGAACACTTTATTTACTACAAAGTGCTAGTCAAATGTTAGTTATTTCTATTCGTTTGTATTCTCCGAGGAAATGACCTCTCCCTTGATTGTCATTAAATCCAAACTCTTCAAGAGGGCTGTCATTTTTTAAATCACAGCGTCCTTAAAAGGGCCCGGGATTTGGATGTGTCACCACCAGGTGGCGCTAGATGGCAAATATGCCCATTGGCCTGAACTCCCGTCTTCATAACAGTTCATCGCGTCCCTTTTTATTGTCATTGAAAAGGAATGAGAATGCTCCCAGATGTGTTTTCCGGGTCAGCTTTAGCTCATAATATCAGCGTTGGCCTCACTGTGGGGATAAAGGAAGGGAGATTTTATCCAGCATTCAAAATACTTTGCCCACTGAAGGTAGTTTGCTCTCAACTAAATCTGGGTAACGGGCTCTGAGTGTCTGTGCAAGGCCCCGGCCGCAGGCACACTGGGGAGCCCCAATCAAGGATCCTATGTGTTTTTTTCTTGAGGGTAAATAAAATATCTCTCTGCACTACCCCCCTCATCCCCAAGCGATCCTGTGCATTTTTTTTCGCTATTGCTCAGGACTAAGGTGAAGCAAGAGAAGGGACTTCTGCACTGGTGCTTGCTTGTTTCACGCAGGGTTCACAGCTACCTCGGATAGCATTTGGTTCCCTATTCACAGTTGTCAACCGAAGACGGGAAACGTGTAAAATAAATTGTGTATACCAAGAGTGTTTTACTGAACCATATTTGCTATTGGGGAACAGATATCCAGTACATACTTAAATAGGCTCTGCTACGGAGACCAAAAGTTCCATTAAAAATAAAGTTAGCAATCTTTTTTTTTTACTTTTCCTTTCTGCTGTTCTCAAATGTGTAGCCTTTCATTAAACAGTGCTCGCTAGGTTCTAGGCAGCCCTCTGCCTAGAGCGACTGCGGGGTCGCTCCGGCAGGAGTACAGGGCTGCGGGGGAGGAGGTGGTGGAGAGCATGGGCACACACTGACAGGCAGGGAAACAGCCCAGCCACTAAAGCAAAGTACAGTAGCTAAGAAACCAAACAGAAGCACTCCGAACACCAGAGGACAGAAAAAAAGGAAGAAGGGTTACGGAAAAACAGAGTGGGACAGCTGTCACCATCAAACGGGACGACTGTTTCCACACTTTGCCAGTAGAGGCGTCACTGGCCCTGGTCGGGGGCGTGGCCACGGAGGTGGGAGTGTGACGCACACGTCCTTTAGGGTATCTTACCCAGCACGTCTAGAACCGTCGGAAAAGTGTCAGGACTAGCATTTGCAGGTAAATACTGTTGCTGACAAAATGGGCAGAATGGTCAATTCAAACTAGACATGATTATGAATTAAACTGAGACTCCCCGTTTTGCCTATCAAACAAGGCTTGAAATGATAGTATTCAAAGCTGATAAAAGAGTAGAGAGACTGATTATGGATGAACAAAAAGTATGTTATCCCTAAAACAGTACTGTCCTCTAGAACTTTCTGAAGTAGTGGAAGTGTTCTCTGCGTTGTTCAGTGTGATACCCACCTGCACCAGGTGGCTATTGTGGACTAAGACTCATGGCTGGTGCAACAGAGAAACTAGTTTTTAAGTTACATTGAAATTTATATATAGCTACATGTGGCTAAGTGGCTACCATATTAGCACAGGACCAGAACACAAGTAGCATCGTGTAGCAAACTCCATAAAACTATACATATCTTTGATCAGTAATCCCATAGGCATGCAATTTCAGGAAATTATCACAGGTATTTATACAAAGATTTTATCTCAGTACTATTTAGAACAATGAAAAGATGGCAATAGTTCAGATGTCTAAAAACAGGAGGTTGATTATAGAAATTATAGTATAAATTAGAATATTGTGCAGTCATTGAAACTTCTGAAAACTTAATAAGAAAATGCTCATAAAATATATAATGTAATATAATAATATATGTAGTGGGAATGTAAAACTATACATAAAATGGTTTTAATCATGTTCAATAATATTATAAAAGGATAGGTAGGATGATATTTTTTAAAAATACCCAGATAGGAAGGAACCAATGCAGAATGGCTACAGTACTTATTTCAAGGTTGCTCAATTACAGCTGATACCTCTTCTTCTTTAAACTTTTCTCAAATTTTCGTTTTCTATAATGAGTAAATATTACTTTTACCTTTTAAAAAAAGTTATTCTAGTTCTTCAGAACTCCTTCTCCAAAATCCTTGTGACACATCTACTAGAAATGCCATTTCAGCCTTTAAGATTCTCACCTACCAGGAGCTGCAGAACACCTCCCAGGAACAAGAGAATGGCTGTCTTAAATGATGATTCTTCTTCTTTAAAGATTGTATTTATTATTTATTTTTAGAGAGAGGCGAAGGGAAGGAGAAAGAGAGGGAGAGAAACGCCGGTGTGTGGTTGCCTCTCACACATCCCCCTACTGGGGACCTGGCCTGCAACCCAGGCCTGTGCCCTGACTGGGAAGCATACCTGCCGTCACTATGGTTCGCAGGCTGGTGCTCAATCCACTGAGCCACACCAGCCAGGGCTCAGTGTTCATTTCTAAACTTGCAACTTATTCTTGTTTTATGGATGCAACGTCTTCTCGTACCTCTCTAAGGCGTGCATTCTCCATGGGAGCCATATTGTTTCCCAAAGGGGCAAAAATTGGTTCATGGGGGATTAGCAAAATAATCTTAGATATTACAGTGCCTTTGTGACCCTCAAAACCTCAACCCTTTCTGACAAAAACCATATTCTTTAATATTTCATTTTCTCTCCTTAGGTAAAAATCAGATTTAATTTAAATTTCTCTCCTTAGAGGTGGGATTTAGGCTTTCACCGCCCTGCATAGTCTCTGTGTATTGGTCTGGGCTCACCAGGGAAGTGGAACTGATAGGAGACACACACACACACACACACACACAAGACTCACTGTAAGGAATCAACTCACACAATTACAGAGGTAAGGGGATGGCAGTGATTCAGCATACTTCTGACCTAAAGCCCCACTGTGACTGTATTTGAAGATAGGGCCTTTAAAGAGGTAATTGAGCTTAAATGACATCATAAAGGTGGGCCCTAACCCAACAGGACTGGTGTCCATATGAGAAGAGACACCGGGGCTGTGCGTGCAGAGAAAAGGCCATGTGAGGACGCGGCGGGAAGGTGGCTGGCGGCAAGCCGGGGAGAGAGGCCTCAGGAGAAACCACGCTGCTGGCACCTTCATCTTGGACTTCAAGCCTCCAGACTGTGAAAATGAATGTCTGTTGTTTAAGCCTCCCAACCTGCGGTGGTCCGTTGAGGCAGCTGGAGTAGATCAATGCACTGCCTAACCTGGGAGGGGAGGGGACCTCTGGCTTGTAGGCTGCCCGTTCCTGCTTTAACAGAAGACTCAGGTCCCTCCCAGGTGGTGCTCAGTAACTTTCCCTGGAGGGGAAAAGAGAACCTCCTCTGGCCCGGGCAGTTTTTACGGGAAGGTCGGAGACAAAGGGCTGAGCCAGATGGAATCCGCAATACCTCGGCTGCTGATTGCGGCTGGGTGAGATGTGTTTGAATCCCAAGACTGACCTTCAGGTGCCGGGTTATTGCCTCACCACTTCCTTTTGGCAGCTGTACCTGCATATTGTCTGGCAGCTCGGCCTCGTTCCTGCCTTTCCCCATCGCCTCTGTATCTCAGGGGCTGCAGCTTGGAAACTGCATTTCCCAAACTTCCTTGCCAGCTGGGTCCCTTGCCGTTGAGGTTCTGGTAGTGCAAAGCACTCATGTGAGGTTGGTTGGAAGGCAGA